CGGGCGCCCAGCCGGCGTCGGGGCTGAGGTCGAGGCGGCGCGGCTCGTCCTCGCCGCGCTCGCCGCGCTCGCCGCGCTCCAGCGGCGACGAGCGCGCGCGCAGCGGCGACCCGCCCGCCCCGCAGCCGCCCGGGCTGCTCGCCGCGCCAGCCGCACCACTCGCACCACTCGCACCACTCGCGCCCTGAACAAACCATCACGTCTCACTATAGTACATTATCAGACAAAAAATCGCACTGTCTGAGTGAATAGGCTTTAGTTACGCAAAGACAATGTGATTTACTATCTAGGGTCAACCACCAGGGACCACTTTGATTCCTTTGTTGTTAACAAGGTGGAAAAAAAAATGTTAATCTAACAATAAGTTTTAATCAAAACTTTTAACATAATTATACACTAAACTGAAAAAAAGAATTCATTCACAGTATTATTTGTGTATTTATTGTAAAAGTATTCATACATGTTATGTAAAAAATGGCTTGTTAAAAAAAGATTTAAATCTCTCACGTCTTCTCTTAACCATTTGTCAGTCGGAATATTTCAGTCAAAATTTATACATTTTTTGTCGTATTTTCTTAAGTGGACTCAGACACACATATGACGAAAATATAGATAAGAATTATTTTACGTGGTTACCACAACACACCATATTACTATAACGAACAAATCACACCATCCAACCAGTATATGTTTACAATGAATATATATTGAGGTGAGCGTGATGAGGAAATATGTTTGGAATTTCTTTATGTGACAAAATTAATGTTGAGAATATCTGCAATAAAACCAGAAAAACCGATATAGCCCAACAAATCAGTAAGCTGAAGTGGCAATTGGCTGGCCATGTACCACGAGGAATCGACAGTCGATAGGAAGTAAAAGTTCTCGAGTGGCTGGCCTTGTACCAGTAAATAATGCGGGGAGTGAGTCCCCAATTGATGAATGGACGACCTAGCAAGACATGCAGGAAGTCGATGGCAGCTCAAGACCATGCTTTAAGACATTCCTGAGAGGCCTACGTTCAACAGTTGACTTGTCATGGGCTGTAATAACCATCATGAATAATATGTAGAACATCCGATTAAAATTGTGCACGAAAAAAATATCACAGACAATCACGTAACAATTATGTAATACCAATTACAAACCAAATGCTTACCTGCGTAAGAGGGCGTGGTTTGGTGTCGTTGGGTGTGGCGTTGCCAGCGGGCGCGGCGGTGACCTTGGCGGCGAACGTGTGTCCGCGAGCGCCTACGATTGCGCCCGTGTACGACAGGGCGCCAGACTTCACGGCGCTCGTACTGCCGCTCGACACAGTCGGCGTGCTCGTCGCGCTCGAAGACAATACGCTCGGCGCGCTCGAAACGGCCGCCCGTTTCTCAGGAACTGTGATTGCTGGATATTGAAGTTATTACGTTATATTATGCTGTTATAGTAAGATGATTACGAGATTTTGTTGTTTTATAAATCGCATTGTGATCGTAGAATTTGATTATAGATACATTTTTAAGCAAAACTAAACATGATGACATGTTGCCTTGAAAGATTTTTATGGAGATCTGTTCATCTTGTCAATATTAATTTTCTTAGAATAATAAGGCATTGTAGCTGTTACTATCAGGTTTGTTAATGCTCTCAAGCATTTCAATCTTAAATAAAAATGATCATCAATATAGTGGTTTAACGAACGTAATAGACATAATATACTGTATTACAAATAACATTCAAATGGATTGTTATAAATATGGAGACGGTTGTAGAGACATAATACTGTAGCCCGAAAGCTAGTATTTTCCCTGTTTTATAGACAAATGACGTTCGATGCTGTTAGCTGTTGTTTGTATTAGTAACAGTTGTAGTGGGGCTACTGAATCTGTGTTAATTTAGAATAGCTCTTCAGCACCTTAAAATCGGCAAGGCCCCAGGCGAGGATGAAATTACAACGGAGCTTCTGAAAGCGGGTGGAAAACCGGTACTTGAAGTCCTTCAGAAGCTCTTTAATTCCGTCCTCCATGGTGGCATTACACCGGAGGCGTGGAGCAGAAGTGCGGTGGTCTTGTTCTTCAAGAAAGGTGACAACGCTCTCTTGAAGAACTATAGACCGATTTCCCTTCTGAGCCGCGTCTACGTGCTGTTTTCGAGAGTCATTATGAATCGTCTCGTGCGCAGACTTGACGAATTCCTGCCTCCCGAACAAGTCGGTTTCTGAAAAGGCTTTAGCACCATAGACCACATACATACCCTTCGGCAAATTGTACAGAAGTCCGAGGAGTACAATTTGCCACTATGTCTGGCGTATGTGGACTATGAGAAAACCTTTGATTCCGTCGAAATTAGGGCGGTGCTGCAGTCCCTTCAGCGGTGCCAAGTTGACTGTCGGTATATTTAAGTGCTGTAGTGCTTGTACAGTAGGGCTACGATGGCTATCAGAGTACAGAACCAGATTACGAAACCTATCCAAACTCTTCACCGCTGCATTGGAAGACGTTTTCAAGCTTCTAGACTGCAAAGGATCAATGGTGAGTACATCACTCACCTTCGATTTGCCGACGATATAGTCCTTATGACAGAATCGCTGGAGGACCTAAGCACTATGCTCAATGACCTCAATAGTGTTTCCCAACAGATAGGGGTCTTAAGATGAACATGGACAAAACAAAGATCATGTTTAATGTCCATGTCACACCTATGCCGGTAGTTATTGGGAGCACTAAGCTCGAAGTTGTTAACGAGTATGTTTATCTGGGACAAATAGTCCGACTAGGTAAGTCCAGCTTCGACCGAGAGGTCGATCGACGGATTCAACTCAGTTGGGCAGCGTTCGGGAAATTACGGCATATCTTCTAGTCAGGTAAACCTCAAAACTTGAAAACGAGACTGTACAACCAGTGCGTGTTGCCAGTGATTACCTATGGAACTGAGACGTGGTTCTTCACTGCTGGCCGGATGAGGAACCTCAAGGTCGCTCAGCGAGCTATGGAGAGGGCTATGTTCGGAGTTTCTCTGCGTGATAAACTTAGAAATGAGGATATCTGCAGTAGAACTAGAGTGACCGACATAGCCCAACGGATTAGTAAGTTGAAGTAGCAATGGGTCGGCCATATAGCTCGAAGAACCGACAACCGATGGGAAAAAAGGTTGTCGGTGGCGGCCTCGTACGACCTGGTAAGATATACAGGAAGTCGATGGATGCAGGTGGCTCAGGGAGGCCTATGTTCAGCAGTGGACTTGTGAATGGTTGTAATGATGAATGATGACACTATTGATAAGTCGTAGTCGACTTGTGGGAGACTCTTTAGAGGGAAAGAACTTAAGAAACCCAATTAATATATCACATCAATGTAATGTTGTAGATATGATAGTTATCAATATAGCAATACAATGACGAACCCCATCAGACAAAATAGGAAGTGCATACTATATGCAAATGTCTACTTGTCAAAATTATTTTAATAGACATGTATCCATCTGGTCATAATTTTACTAGAAAACAAAAAATTTATGAGGTTAAGAAGAATTTAAATGAAAATTTTAAAAGCGTAAAATAAATAAGTGCGTGTTGGGTTATGGATAATGAGGTAGGGTTCTGGAGTTGCCCATCACAATACGTGGGTTTCCTTGATAATGAGCATAATAAGAGAGTTCGTGATTTCACCGCTATAACGACCAAAATTGGGTCCAAACAGAAAGATCGTAACTGAAGGACTTATTTTCAAATTAGTCTTATAGGGACTGCTATTTATAAAATATTAAAATACTCGTTAATGAAAAAGTATAGCTAATTATCTTCATAAAATGTTTATTTTTAACAGTTTACAATGAAATTACAAAGTTCTTAATGCAGCTAATTTTAGATCATTTTCTATATTTATAGTTGTAACGAAATTTTTACTAATCCAAGTGTATTTTATAAGTTTGTCGATAGTTTTCCTTTTAACTTTATTATGTGTACCACTATTGTGTATACTTTTAATATTTCCAAAAACATCGGTTTAGTTGGTAGAGGGGGAAGGGGGGCACATGAGTATAATGGACGGACGGATGGATGGACAGACATGGCGAAACTATAAGGGTTTCTTGTTGTATAATTACGGAACTTTAATAAAAAGAGGCGAATTCTAAGGATTTTTTTCAGATGGACCAATATTACTATAAATTATACATTTACCGTCATGTTTTATGTGTTTAACTCTATAATAAGCTTAATATCGCAATGATCCAGTGGACACAACGTTAATGTGGACAATACGGGCCCGCGTTTGCAGTATGTTTGTGTCGCACGTTTAGTATGTGTAGATGTGACCGTGCGTGCGTGTGCGTGCGTGTGCGTGCGTGTGCGCGGTACGTACGGTGCGCGTGCAGGCGCGGCGGCGCGCGCGCGGGCGCGGCGTGCTTGGGCGGCGCGCGCGACGTGGGCGTGGCGCGGCTGCTGCCGCTGCCGCTGCCGCCGCTACCGCCGCTGCCGCCGCCGCCGCCGCTGCTCGTGCCCGCCTGTCGGTCGCCATTCACAATCATGGATTATTATTATCACTCTTATGTCGCTATTATACTATACATATATATTATAATTACAACGCGAATGAGTAGCCTCGACTATGGAAGGATTTAATGCTGGTGTGTTACGTATGGCAAATACAGAAGTACCGGAAACTGAATTGCTGGAAACGAGTCATTCTAGCTTAGTCCTCAAGGATGGCAAGCATCTGTATTTTGATTCCAAATTGAGAATAGATGTCTATAGAACACAGCATTAACTTACTATCAGGTGAACTGTGTGCTCGTTTGTCACCCCGATTTTTTTTTAAGTAATGCATGCTAGATAAATAAAATTTAGAAAACTATTAATTCTCTTAATAAATGGCATAACACAGAAAAAGTAAAAGATTCTGTATTTCGTTATATTTATTTTATTTAATTAATAAAACAGCTCAATTGTATTTGGTCTCACTTGAGTAATAAATATTTTTATATAATTTATTAATTTATAATATATAAATTTTTTAGCGTTGGTGTGTTGTGCGTGGTGGTACCTTGGCGGGCGGCTGCTTGGGCGGCTTGGGCTGCTGCGGCTGCGGCGGCGGCGGCGGCAGCTTGGCGCGCGGCAGCAGCAGCGCGATGTCTGCGTCGGGGTCGCGGATCATGGCCGCGATCAGGCTCGCCGCCTGCTTCGTCGCCTCCGCGGAGCCCCTGCGCGCACACACACACACAATTGGATCACCACACAGTATGCTTCACAAGGAATGCTTCAAATTTTAAATCCCTACTATATTTTATGTCATATACCGTTACCATTTTTTAGTCCTCTATTAAGGTTTAGGCTATAAACTAAATTACTCGTCTAATCAACATAGAATAGGGCGAACTCTTTTAAAAGGCTGACTTCACAGTCAGTCTTTAAAAAATCAATAAAATCGTCACTGTAATTAATTTTATGAAAATCACCAAAATACGGTAAAAATACAAGCACAAACAGAAAAACAATGTGTCCACAGAATAATTAGTAAATTAACGCAACCTTATTATTCTTTTACATCTTTATATATAAAAATTACGTGTCACATTGTTTGTCCGCGATGAACGGATTTCAATGAAATTTTGCACACTGTGTTCAGTTTGGTCCAACTTGAGAGTTAGGATACTTTTTATCCCGATAAGTGACCTTCAATATTTTTAAATTGCGAATGTAAGGATTTTTTATGGGAAGGTTCGTCGGAAAGGGCAGAACAACGTCTGCCTGGCCAGCTAGTAATATCATATATCAAAAATATATCTGATTACTACGCTTCGGGTTCTGTGCTTAAATTGAAGCCAGAGTCAACGTTTGTGTGATAATACAAATTATTTTTGGATGTTGTTAGCGTGACGGCTCCGTGGCGCAGTGGCTTAGCAATGAGTTGCAACGCTAAGGGCCGCGGGTTCGAATCCCGCACAGAACAAGTATTTGTATGGCCTACAAATATTTGTTCTGGGTCTAGATGTTTGTCCTTGTAAAATATGTGTATGTAAACTGCCCCCGCGATACAGGAGAAAATCCTAGTGCTAGTAATGTTTTTTAAAAACAAATTTAAAAAAGAAATTATTATTGTGTATTATAAGCCGGCTTTTCTTATCCCATAAGCTTTATTTAGCACCTGGACTAGTATATTAAGATGAGGTCCTTTATGTTGATAGTGAACAAGGAGGACACCATGATATAATTCAAAGAAACCAAGTATACCTAAACATTATCTTTCGACATTATGGAGGAATAGGAGTTGCGCTCACTTGATGGTGATGATGCGCTCTCCCTGGCCCTTGCCCTGCTTATCGACCTCGATGTGCGCGCCGGTGGCGGAGCGGATGGCGTTGATGTTGCTGCCCGCCCGCCCGATCACCCGCGAGATCGCGTGCGACCCGACCGACACCTTCTTGCACCTGTACGTATTACATAAATAACAAATTAGTATTTATGAGATGAAAATACATAAAAAATGCTAAGTTGCAACTTAAACACGCCCCACTGCTAGAGACATTCCTTTTTACGTTTCCGAGGTTTTAATATAGGGAAGAGACCGTCGAATTATACTAATACGTGATAGTGGGCTTCGCATGTTCTCGAAATGTTTTAGTTTCATAAACATGCAAGTTTCCTCACGATGTTTTTCTTCACCACCAAGGATGTGGTAAAACAGCAGGCCGGCAACGCATCTGCAATTCTTCTGGTGTTGCAGTTGTTCATGGACGGCGGTAGTCACTTACCATCAGGTGAGCCGTATATGCTCGTTTGCCTCCTCTCATATAAAAAGTTTTTTAGGGATTTTATCGCGTTTAATTAACCTATTTATATATTTCCGACGTTTCGAATGCTCTGCAGCAGCCATGGTCACAATGATATAAAGCTGATAGTGGCCAGGGTTAACTATGATATTGGATATCTCAGCCTTCATGACCATCGTTGCTACAAAGTACTCGAAACATTGGGAATATAAAAGTAGTAGTTTAATTAAACGCAATAAAATCCGTAAAAACCTAGTTCCACATAACATACTGTACCACTATAATACAATCTCCATGTATATGATTTTATGGGAATGGCACAATAGTTCCCATGTATAACATTTAATACTGCTAAGAGATCATCGACTCACACACAAAATGATGTAATACAATACTGACCCGGGTTCAACGGTGGAGACAGTCTGTACGCTTGACTTGCGCACCACCTCCTTCCAGCCTTCTTCGCGCCGTCCTCCCGCATTGGCGCCTTTGGGAGACGTGCTTTTGCCCTCCGCCTCCCATCTACAAGACAAATTGCACATTAAATAAACCTAGCCAAAGAAGAAATATATACCATTCATTGCAATAAGTACTTATTTTTGTTACATAAGCTTTTTAGACTAACCAATAGAAGCTTAAAATTACTAAAACTAAATTTTAATTTAACAGCAAATAATAGAGAAAAAAAAAACAAAAATCAATGTCCACTGTCAGTATTTAAAGCATGCAACAAAAAAGTAAAAGAGACTATTGAATAGCACATGCATTGTAGGTTAAGTTGTTAAAAAATATTTTTGATGAAATTTATTTACGTAATATTCCGTCAACTAATAAGCGAATAACTTTATGATAGGTGGCTAGCCCATCACCTACACAATCAAAAAACCAATATCCCATTAGTCGCTTTTTACGACATGCTAGGCAAATAACACAGTTGACATATACTTTATTGTTATATTGTTACAAGTGCCCCACAGGAACCATTATGTCCCAGACCAACAAGGGGCAGGAGTTTTAATGACTTATTTCTTTTTTAACTTCAAAAATACTAAACAATGGCACTGACTTTTGTTTCTCCGTATACCGAAAATGACCAACTTACTGATGGTTGGCGTGGATCTTTTTGTTTTTGTCAGTCATATCAAGGTCATCTTTCTCCACATTATGCCTAGTGGATTCGAAAACTTGGCTCTTTCTAGAGCTACTGCCAAATTTGTTTACATTCTGTACTGTAATACTCTTAGGATTATCTTCTTCAGGTTTTCTGTAACAACATTTTGACTTATATCACAATTTGAATAAAAGCCAGTAAAGTTAGCTTAGATATTCTCTGTGTTATCACAATTAAAAAATTACATTGTATAAACGCTATTTACTACTTAAAATACGAAGATGTTATTATTATACCAGGTATTGTGAGAAAATATGTGCCACCTTCTATTAAAAAATTACATTGTATAAACGCTATTTACTACTTAAAATACGAAGATGTTATTATTATACCAGGTATTGTGAGAAAATATGTGCCACCTTCTATTAAAAAATTATATTGTATAAACGCTATTTACTACTTAAAATACGAAGATGTTATTATTATACCAGGTATTGTGAGAAAATATGTGCCACCTTCTATCTACAATGTTGCAATAGAGTAATAATATTGCCTTTCAACTTAAGCTAATGTTAATTATATCTAAATCTTAATCCTTAATTGAGAACAAATGGTGTATATGAGTGGACACAAAATATATTTATAAGCCAGTGCTTGAACAACAATCCTACCTAGTGATAATTGGTGATGAAATCTCGGCCTAGATGGTTAATCGCACTGTCTTAGGGTGCGTACAGATTAAGTTACATGTTGTATAACTTTCGTTTTATAACACGTCCACATTATGTAACATTGTATTTCAACATTGCAACATATAACAATACTGTACACATTAGAATAACAATGCAATATAACAATGTTATATGACATTGTCGTTTGTCGTTCTGCCATTCGAGTTATATAACATTTGTGTCACGTTATATAATACTTTTTATAACATTCAGCCTCCATATTCCTGTAACTTGTTATATAACAAAACATTTTATGTTATATAATGTGTACGCACCGTTAGCGTAAAAGTCTATTGTTGTTGCCATGAAGACACTCCAATTATAATCGGTTTGAAAGAAAGACAAGTTAATTAATACATTCCTTTGCTATATGCATTACAAAAGACGAAGCAATGATTAGAAAAACCGACCACAAAAGTTGGATTTCCACATAAAAGTCGTATTAATTTAATGATTTTATAAAATCATTGTAAATTTATTAAACATTGTAAAGCAACAACAATCTTGTGATGTGACACGACAACGTTTTGAAGGAGTCACTTAGTAACCAGTACACTGTATAATATTACCTTTAGTAACCAGTGTAAAATATATTGCGCATAAAAATTAACCATCTATTATATTCAAGCAGCTTTTCACAGATAATAAATAAATTGTTTCAACAACCTTGGCAACATGTCCAATATGGAAAATCCTGCCAATTTTAAAGCCTAAGTTCTGAAGTAGTATGTTTATGAGTTAAACGAAACAGTTGAGTATTTGAATGCCATTGTTTTTATCTTCTTAGTAGAATTTACGTAGACCTTAAACCGGGCGTTAATATTCTAAAAAACACAAAAAAGCGTTATATTTAGTGTTACACTAAAGAAAAAACATGCAACTTGCTATAACAAAAATAGCTGTATTAAATTAAGCAAACAGTTACATCAATGTTTGTTGTTTATAGATAAATATTATCATGCAGTAGAATGGGTGGTTTCCAGATTTCAAAATTTTGCTTTATAATTTTGTTAGTTACCTTCAAATACTAGACAAGTAATATCTAATTTTTTTTAAAATACTAGGTATTAGATGGTAGACACCATAATAATTAAATAATTATGTCACATGTTTTGAATTTGCTAGTAGTATCTCAAAATCAAAGTTTTTCGTTTTAAGTTATATTTGGTTTTTTTTGCCATGGTGGCGGGCGAAAGAGAATCATCAGCCCATAAGATCCCATGGGTTCCCTATGAAGTAACCACGGAAAATGCCAGAAAACTCTTAATGGCTTCCAATAAATGGTGATATAACATCGCGTTTACGCCAGATTTAAAACACTCGCAGTGTAACCATTCATAGCAGATTTCTGCCATGTTTTAAAAAAGTGGCAATTATTTGGAATAATTAAGCAAGTTCATGATTATTTTGGGATAATTAAATAACATTTATCTTCATTATTGAATATAGGTTGGTTAGGCTGAGAAAGTATCTCAGCATTTGCAGTTGACATTTTTTCTTAAAATTTTGTGATGAAAACAACTATGTAGAATGTTATCATTATCATAATTATACATGGTTCAGTTGTAGCTTAAGTCAACACTAAAACCACACAATTATTCACGAAGGGCCAGAAGACCAGTTTGAAAGTAGAACAAATGAAAATGGTGAGGAGTAATTTAAATAATGTGAGCATAGTAAGTAGGTAGTGTGAGAAGAATGGGTAGAATATTATGTGATATGAGTAGTGCAGGAAGTGTAGACACTGAAGCAGTCTTAGACTTATGGGTAGCAGCACGGTGACTAAGTGTTTGGCAGCGGTGCTGCGGATTACAAGATAATCTACATAAAACAGAAAAAGCTTGAATGGCATCCAATAATTGTTCTGAGACTGGATGTACAAAAATTACTGCAGTAGGTGTTACATTTTATTAAAAAAAGACGTGTGAGAAAGAATGCAAATGCTTTCACGTACTTGTCCTTGCGCTCGTTGCGACGCTCGTTAGCGGGCGCCGGCGCTGCAGCGGGCGCGGGCGCCGGCTTCACGGGAGTGGCGGGAGGAGAGCTCGGCGCAACATTCTCCTTCTCTTGCTTCTTGTCAACCTTGCCGACGTTTTCCTTCTCCGCTTTCGTTTCTAACTTTACTTTGACCTTTAACAATAACTGCATTATTTAAACCAAATAAAGTCTCTATTTATCGACACAAGAAATGGAAATATATTTTCAAATCTGATACTTTTCCAAAGGGAGGTTCCTTTAATTAAAATGTATTCTTGTCGTTAAAGGAACCTCATTTGAATAAATGATCTTAAGAATAGGTTTGTAACAGATAGAACGAGTACTGTAGTCGCGCTGTGCCCGAGAGACCAAGATAGGCAACCAAGATAAATTGATGAAATCATCATCTCTTATTCTGATTTGTCTTCAAAAACTAAGCTGATTTTCTTCAAAAACTATATGTTTTTCTTTTATTGTGTTTGATTAATTAATTGCTGGATATCTGATAACTATGAATAATTGGGCACTTTAAATAATTTTAAAAGGTTCATAGCTTATTAAAATAATAATAAATCATTTTTATTTCCTCTTCAAAAAGGTATAAAATTTCACATTATTACTTAGGTAAATAATACGGTTGCAGACAATTTGTAGCCTTTGTGAGAGACTGAAGTCCATACTAGGGTAATCCCTGTGTTATAGATCACATGTGTTTGTATTAGGTATGTGTTTTTAGGATAATACTGTGAGTAAATTTTCAGCAGCCTTATAATAGATATTTAGCAACCATTTCTGTAATTTTGTTTACATGCATGTTTTGTTAGAGAGTAAATTAATAAACGGTTATTCAATTTATTATAAAGGTAACCACCCAGGAAACAGAAAAATCTATGTGAAAATTGGGTCTTTAGACATTTACTGGGACAAACTCATAGATTACCTCCTAATAGATACCGCATCATTGAATATTTGTTCTGTTTCGAGTTCACCAAATTTGGCCCTATGCAAGGGTTGCGGGGGACGTGGCAAATGCGCTGTGATTGGATATTTAAAGGTCAAACTTAGAATGTACCAAACCATAGTGATGGAACAGGGTTGGGACGTTGATCGATAAATTTGGGATTTATTGATTATTGACAACGATAAATAAATATATTGATCAATTTTTATTTGAAGTTTATTAAAAAATTAAACATTGTATACATATATTTGTACATTTAATTTATAAATATATATTTGACTGATTTTTAAAATGGATAATCTTAGTATAAAATTGTCTCACAGAATTCTTAGGATCTGTCTTCCTGGATGAGTAGAGTAATCTTACGAGTATGTCTATGTATTTTTCCATAACACTCTTAGCTAAATCAATGACATGATAACAACTTTCGTGATCGCATTGGTGATTTTTTTATTTCATGAAAAATATCATCATTAACAAAACTGCTCATTTATTTATATTTATTATTTTTATTATATATATATATAATTTTATTATAATTATTATTTATAATTAAGCTTAATTGATTGTGTTAAAACTACAAACTTTCCTAGTAGTTTTACAGAAGGTAAAGAAGTATTAAATGTTTTGCGTACATAATTATAAGCCTAGCTGAGTAATTTATGGTGAGTGCAAAAGCTCTTAATTGTGGTGAATATTTTTTTCTAACAATTTTGCCTGATTTTCTAGATTTTGATTTTTCTAAGGAACTTAATGCGTCATTGTTTTCCGCTGCTAATGAATTTTTGTTTTCTAACTCTACCAATAATGACTTCAAAGAAACTATTTGTGCTTTTAGTCTTCTGTTGGAATCACTTAACTTTTTAACTTTTTTATCTTTTTTGTTCTTTACGTTGGTTAATTCGATGATTCTTCTACAAAGACGTTTTTAACCGGAGTATCAAATGCAGATGGCGTATCAGGTATAGGAGAAAATTTTCTTTTTTGTTTTGTAGGCGTTTCTAAGCAATGACTCTGATTTTTAGGTGTTGGCGGGTTTTTCGCGTCTTTCAGCGGTGAACCAGTAATCTAAATCAGAAATAAATATTCGTTTCTTTTAAAACATTACCGATATAGTATTATTAATTAATACACCATACGGCACGTCTTCCAAATTTAGATGTACTTAATAATTATAATAAGATAATACTGAAGTTCATGTAACACTAAATACCAAGTCAAAACAATAATCACATTATAACTTTTACATGTTTTATGATTTATAAATCCGTTCAAAATAGCTTGATTTCGACTTGTAACATTTACCTAAATATAAGAATATCATGTTTCACTCAACCACTTAATGATATTATTGTGTAATCTACGTTAGTACTAATATTTCCATACCAAAACTGGCAAGAATCCAACAGCTTTATACGATTTTTCATAATATTATGAAGATTGTCTTCTGTGAAGTGTTTTGAGCATAGTACACTATTTTTGGTGGGAAACCATTCCTCCCCTCGACAATTTGCGTCGATCCACATCTTTTTTCCTTTCCTAAACATATAGGTACCACAATGATACGTCACTATTTTTATAAAATAATATGACTTCGAAAAAAATAATTAAACGATGACCAAACAAATATCGACTTAAAAATCACAACACTATCGATATACGTTCTGTTGTTAGACAAAGACAAATATTGTAATTTACGTAACGAGTGAAAGGGACATTTCAAAAAGACATCAACGGGTGCTTAATTGTTATCACTTTGCACCATTAATATACCAGTATAAGTTGATCTCCGGTGCATTTGAAATAGGTTAACGTGATAAGAATAGAATTTATTTACCAATTAAAATTTATGCCATCTTTTTGATAACTGGATGTCTTAGCTGACTTGTCACACCATTTTACTGCACAGCAAGCCATTTGTAATGTATTTTGGATACAAAACTATTTTTAAATTGTCAAGAACTCGGACGTGCCTACGGATCACAAGCTTGGACGTTACTGATGTCGTGATTCTTAGCTTCGCTTCGTATGCTAGCTACAGCAAGTATGTGTTGCGCGCGTTTGTGGCCCTGTATGCGGAATCTATTAGGAGGTAATCTATGGACAAACTACATATTTTTTTTTTAAAACGTTACCCCCACACTAGGATTTTCTCCTGTATCGTGGAGGCAGTTTACAAACACAAATTGCACAAGGACAAACATCCAGACCCGGAACAATTATTTGTAGGCCATACAAATACTTGTTCCGTGTGGGATATCCTTCTTTTGTCATTATTGGAGGACTCATACTGTATCATAGAATGTTGTAGTAGCGCAGTGTGTAATATAAACAATTTGCAAACAGATAAGACACTACACTGTTGATAAAGGTCAGTTGTAGGGAAAAGGAATGGTAGAGAATTGCTAACTTTTAATATCGCCCTCTGGGCCCTTTCTAATTGCAATATGGTTGTTTTAGGTGCGCCTCCCCAGATGGTAATACAATATGTCAACAATAATTGACACTGCAAAATATACCATTTTTATTACATTAAGATCTACAACACGACGTAGATTTTTAAAAATATAAATTAACTTACGTATCCTTGTACAAGAGGCCAATATGAAAGTGAAAGCTAAGGGTGTTATCTATCATTACGCCGAGATATTTTATGCAATCCGTTTTAGAGAGTGTAGGACAGGAGCAAGAGCTATCAATTTGGGAGTAACAGTGAGCTGTAATGTGGAAGTATTCTAATTCAGGTACATTGATGTTTTTTGTAGTAAATGCTATGTATTTTGTTTTATAGACATTTAATGTAAGTTAATATTCTTTTAGCCACTTATTTACTAAATCAAACCCATTTTGTGCGAGGTTAAATACCTCAGACCATGTATCTGCCTGGAAAAGAAGAGCCATGTCATCCGCAAAAGCAATGATCCTTCCATTGTGAATTTTTACATTACGTAGGGAATTAATATATGTAAGAAATAGCGTTAGCCCAAGATACCAAGACCAAGTACACTACCCTGTGGTACACCATATGATACGCGAAGATCATCACTGCAGCAACCACCAATCCTTACCCTCTGATATCGACCCGTTAAATAGCCAGAAAACAGTTTCAGCTGTGTATTTCTTATTCCAAGATCTTCTAGCCTATTCAACAAAAGCGGAACGGAGACGGTGTCAAATGCTTTAACTAGATCAAGGAATATAGCAACTACTTTCTTTTTACTGTCAAGGTTTGTACCAATGAAATCAGTTAGTTCATGAACTGCATCCTGTGTAGAACGTTTTGGTCGAAATCCATATTGGCAATGTGATAACAGATTATGTTTCTCTAATTAATTAGTCAAGCGCTTGTTGATTACTTTTTCTAGTATTTTTGACACAATGGGAAGAATGGAAATGGGTCTAGTTATTGACACAGCCCGCATCACTGCTCTTGTAAATAGAGTAAATTTCAGCTAGTTTAAAACAGTTGGGGAATTAACCAGTTTTAAGGGAAAGGTTACATATATATATGTAATGGGAGGGACTAGTAAATTTCTGTACCTTTTAAGAAGAAAAGTGGAAATATTATCTCTACCTACACTACAACCAGTTTTCATATTTAAAATAATTGTCTCTATTTCATGTTCGTCCGTGTCAAGAAGTACTATGGAATGCTGATATGTATTTATAGGAAAAATGCTAGAAGTGTTGTTATTATTGTGGTGTTTTTCTGCCAAAGATTTACCCATATTTACAAAAAATGAATTAACATAATTAACTGAAGTTTTGGGGTCAGATTTGTTTAATAATTTATCGGCATTATTATTTTGTTTATTTGTATTTGTGACTATTTTTATTGTGTCCCAAAGCTTTTTATTACTTATTTTAAGTGCTGCTGTTAATTCTGATTTTTCATATTCCTTTTTCAATTTTTTAAGTACTTCATTACAGTAATTACGGTAACGTTTGTATGTAGTTATGATTACGTCATCATCCGGATAATTTTTTACATTTTTGGTGTAATTTATCATGATATCTTAAGCATCTCAAAATACCTGGGGTAATCCAGGGCTTTTTAATAATTTTGCGATTAGAAACTTTAGTTGTTTTGTATTAATTTTAAAGCATTACTTAAGGATTCTAACAGGAATGTAGCTGCTAAGTCAACGTTCACCATAGAATAAATACTTTAAAGTCTAAAGTGCTAAGGTAACTATCTAATTTATCATCATTTATACGTTCTCTAATTTTTGGTGGCAAACTACGTGTACTCAAAGTAGCCTCAATTAGAAATATAGAATAGAATAGAATAGAATAGAATATTTTTTATTCAATATACATTACATGTGTAATTCTTATTGAGTCATTTTTTACTTTACCACTGGTTCGAAAAAAACCCTCTGTCCTGGGAAGAACCAGCAAGAAACCCTTCTACTATTAATAGTAAGTGAATAATCCTCATTCCTTTGTCAGTTTTTTCTTAATGAAGTTATTTTGTATTAAGTACCATTATAATATAATATGCTACACATTATGGTAAATGTTGTGTATACCTGTAGTTGGCAAACATATTTAACCATATACTTTTATTATCGTGTTGTTGTTAATGTTTCATGTGTTTTGCTGTTGGTGTACCTTATAAATAAATAAATAAATAGATTGCATAGACCAATCAATGGGAAATTTAAATGCACGCATATTCTATGTGTATTCTGGTCAGGACACCATCGTCAATCAATCTGAGCGTATAAATTTTTGGCATGCTTGACAACTACGGCCAATCCTTCCTACAATGGAAGAGGCTATATCCAGCATTGGACTTTTATTGGCTGACAAGGAAGAAAAAGAATATTTATTTTAAAATTCGAAATGATAAATATTTATTGTTGACTTACTTTATCTGGTTGTTTCTTAGGCGGCGGAGCGGTCGGCGCAGGTGCAGTCTTGTCGTCCTTTTTCTTCTTCTTGCTCTTGGCAGTTTGAGCTGGCGGCGCTTTCACATCCGATGAAGAACAGGAGCCCTGCACGATAACATAAAGCTCTATTATTTCAAATTAAAATGTATAATAAAAACTATTCTGCAAAAGAAAAATAATACAAAATCAAAATAACAGTTACAGATTTTTCACAAACTGACTCATTTCAGCACATGATAGGACGTCTTTTCTGTCTAGATGTCTGTTTGAGTACCAACCAGTTTAGAGGTTGGTACCCAAACAAACTTCTCTCTTTCCGCTACCAAGCAACAGTTTGAAAGATTTGGAGAGCCACAAGAACCACGCTGAGGTATTTTATTTAATAATTAGTCTTTAGAGGTAACAATGTGTCTGCAGCCTTCTTTTTGAATAGGTAATAGGTGTACATGAGTTGCAGGAGTCACCTACAATCAGGTTTGTCAACCCTGTTCATCATCATCATCATTACAGCCCTTCACAAGTCCACTGCTGAACATATTCCTCCCCCAAGGAATGCCACAAAGCACAGTCCTGAGCCACCTGCATCCATCGACTTCCTGCATATCTTACCAGGTCGTCACTCCATCTAGTGGGGGGACGCCCTACACTTCGCCTACCGGTACGAGGCTGCCACTCGAGAACCTTTTTTCCCCATCGGTTGTCGGTTCTTCGAGCTATATGGCCGGCCCATTACCACTTCAGCTTACTAATCCGTTGGGCTATGTCGGTTACTGTGGTTCTACTGCGGATATCCTTATTTCTAAGTTTATCACGCAGAGAAACTCCGAGCATAGAACTCTCCATAGCTTGATGAGCGACCTTGAGCTTCCTCATCCGGCCAGCAGTGAAGAACCACGTCTCAGTTCCATAAGTCATCACTGGCAACACGCACTGGTTGTACAATCTCGTTTTCAAGTTTTGAGGTATACCTGACGAGAAGATGTGCCGCAATTTCCCGAACGCTGCCCAGCCGAGTTGAATCCGTCGATTGACCTCTCGGTCGAAGTTGGACTTACCTAGTCGGACTATTTGTCCCAGGTAAACATACTCGTCAACAACTTCGAGCTTAGTGCTCCCAACAACTACCGGCATAGGTGTGACATGGACGTTAAACATGATCTTTGTTTTGTCCATGTTCATCTTAAGACCTATCCGTTAGGAGACACTATTGAGGTCATTGAGCATAGTGCTTAGGTCCAGCGATTCTGCCATAAGGACTATATCGTCGGCAAATCGAAGGTGAGTGAATCGTCTGCCAATGCAGCGGTGAAGAGTTTCGGGACCCTGTCTTACACCTCTCTGCAATTGGATAGGTTTCTTACTCTGGTTCTGTATTCGGATAGCCATCGTAGCCCTACTGTACAAGCACTTCAACACATCGATATACCGAGAGTGAACTTGGCACCGCTGAAGGGACTGCAGCATCGTCCAAATTTCCACGGAATCAAAGGCTTTCTCATAGTCGACATACGCCAGACATAGTGGCAAATTGTACTCCTCGGACTTCTGTACAATTTGCCGAAGGGTATGTATGTGGTCTATGGTGCTAAAGTCTTTTCGGAAACCGGCTTGTTCGGGAGGCTGGAGTCGTCAAGTCTGCGCGCGAGACGATTCGTAATGACTCTCGAAAACAGCACGTAGACGCGGCTCAGAAGGGAAATTGGTCTGTAGTTCTTCAAGAGAGCGTTGTCACCTTTCTTAAAGAACAAGACCACCGCACTTCTGCTCCACGCCTCCGGTGTAATGCCACCATGGAGGACGGAATTAAAGAGCCTCTGAAGGACTTCAAGTACCGGTTTTCCACCCGCTTTCAGAAGATCCACTGTAATTCCATCCTCGCCCGGGGACTTGCCGTTTTTAAGGTGCTGGAGAGCCATTCTAATCTCGCTCTGACTGACGTCCGGGATATCATCGGAATAATGTCGGATAAGACTCGCTCTTGGATCGTTACTCACACTTGCGTGTGGCTCCAACGATGAAGTGTACAGCTGCCTATAGAACCTCTCAATCTCACTCAAAATCTCAGGTGTCCCGGATCCGATGCTGCCACTCTTGGTCTTTAGCTTTGACAGTTGGCTCTTTCTGGCAGACATATCTCTGGCAAAGACTTTGGAGCCCTGGTTCCGCTCGATCGCTTCTTCAATACAAGCTGTATTGAAGTTGCGCAAGTCCCGCCGCATGCATTTGGAGATCTGTCTGTTCAGTTGCCTGTATGCTGTCAAATCTGTTGAAGAATGTAGCTTCATCTCCCGTCTAACAGCCATGAGATTAAGAGTGTGATCGGAGAGTTTTTGTGTTCTTCTGCGGCGGGTCTTGCAGAACTTAGCTCCGACCGCATGGACAGTTTCCACGAGCTTGTCATTCATATCGTCCACTTCATTGCAGTCTTCTAGGCACTGAAAACGGTTTTGTAATTCGATCTGAAAGGTTTCGGGACTCGGAACAGAGCACGAGGATCATAAAGAGTCCTTCTTTATCCATGAAGTCGGCCAGCTGCTTTGCCATAGTTGCCACGCTTGGCGAGCGGATTGGCAACCGCATTTTTTTATTGTACTTTTGCTATTATCAGGAAATGCTGCTGCCCATCTCTTGCCTGTTTCCCTTTGTCGCCTTTTACGACACCCACGGGAAGATATGGGGTAGTGGATATTCTTAACCGCCACTACACGTCAACCCTGTTAGGCTTATTATTTTTGGGTCGTTTTGTGTTATAACGTGAACAAATGGTATTAAGTACCTATATAAATGTAAAACTCAAATTGGAAATAATAAGCTTTACTACCTGTGAATTTGCGTCGATGCCGGAGTCGCCCTCCTCCTTCGCGACGGGTTCGTCGTCGGGCTCGCCGCCCTCTGAGCAATCGCCGAGGGCTTTTTCGCAGTAAAGAGAGTTTTTGTCGTTTTCTGCTTGAAGCTTTCGCCTCTCCTCCTGAATACAGAAGTATGCGTAAGTGCTAAGTTGACATATTTTTTTTAAATTCAGTTGCAAGAAAAAATTACGGTTTTTGGGCGCAATTTTGCGTATGGCGATTCTTTCAGAATGAAGATATCCTCAGAAGAGTTAGTGTGACTGATATAACCCAAGGTATTAAATAAGCTGAAGTAAAAAGGAGCCAGCCATATAATTCAAATAATTGACAACCAATGAGGAAAAAATATTCTTGAGTGACAGATTCATACCAGTAATTGAACTGTAGAGCGGCCTCTCAACAGATGGTTTTTTTTTATAGGATAGGGTGACAAGCGAACACACAGTCCACCTGATGGTAAGTGGTTTCTGTGGCAATAGACATCTACATCTATCCTCGTTTGCGAATCAAAATACAGATACGTTGTCACCCGTGAGGACTAAGATGGAATGCCTCTTTTCCAGTAAAAGGGGTCTCTGGTTTTCTACACCATACGAAACACAGCAGTGTTAAGCTGCTATTTAACGCTAGTATTCTGTAGTATTGTATAGCTGCAGCATGGCTCTACCACGTATAAAATAGTTTATAAGAGATGCAGGAAACCGGTGGATACAGACGATCGTCGGGACCGTGTTTCCTTGGGGGAGGCCTATGTTCAGCAGTGGACTTGTGTAAGGCTGTTATAACAAGAGCGATGATGACAGTCAATAATTTCCCAGTATTTAAAATTAGTCGCCGTTACGAGGGAGAAAAATGGTACAAGGGGAGCGTTGACGGGAACTTGGGGCCACTGACGATTTGTTAACATTTTATATGTAATGTAACTAGCGATCCGCCCCAGCTTCATACGGGTGATTTCTAGATCTCGACAACAGCACCATCTACCGGGTTCAATTGGTAATATAAACCATCCATGGACCACTCAAATACACACAAAAAGATTCATCATAATGGGTCCAGCCTTTCAGGAAGCGTTCAGGAACAAACACTCATATATAAGAATTATAATATATATAAAGATGGTGTGAAGTGAACTTTGTGTGGTAAAATGTATTAAAGCGATTGATGTATTCATTTGGCTGAAAACCTTGTAGACAATATGTAACAAATAAAAAAAATGTAACAAGCAGTGTTGCGCACCTTCTTCTCCATCTTCTTCTTCTTCTTGCGCTCGCGGCGGCGCGCGGCGGCCAGGCGGCGGCTCTCCTCGCGGCAGCGCTCGGCGTCCAGCTCCTCCAGCAGGATGGTCGCGTTCTGGTTGGCGCGCGCCGCCTGCGTCTCCTTGGCCGCGCGGATCACGCGCACGCACTCCTGGCACTTCTCCAGCACCTCCTTGTCCGATATCGTGCAGATGTACCTGACCAAACAACCTTGCATTTACAACTATGCTCTTTTTGGCGTTCTCTCCAAAAAAATAAGCCGCCCACATATTAAAAAACATGTGGTCTTAGATTTGGACAAAAAAAGTTGGCAACGCCCATACCATGAAAAACGGACTATAAATATACAAATTGGACCGTATGGATCGTAAATATACAAAAAAAAAATAGGTAACTTTTCTCTGCTTTTTTAAACAAAAATTACCGACTTTCAATAAGTTACAACAATAACAGGAAGTATACATTCAATTACACATTGAATTAAAATTTCACACAAATTTTTTATTTCAAGTTAATTTTTAATAGACTAACCTAGTCATTTCCTGGTCGGAGGGGAATTGCGTGACGACTCCTACCATCCATTTGACTACTTTAGTATGGCCCTTTCGGAAGGCGGCCATCAGGCAAGATACCTGAAAGCATTTATAGTCTAGCTTAAAAAAATTTTTTTTTATAAAATTATGCAAATTTCATTTCATAAGAGAGAACTAAATACAATTAAATAATAGCTATTACATGTTATAATGTTAACATTTTAAAAATTATGAAAAAGAAAATAGCTTGTATAAATTAATTAAAATTATATTTCCATTCATTTCCTCATATCTCAAATTTCAATTAACCATTATTAGTGTCAGATACTCGATGATATTAAGCAACAAATTCCAAACATCATCTAACAATTTGCAAAAATATGAATACTGAGTTAAGCTTGGACAGATAGTATGATCAAACTGAGTTTTAAGTCAACTTCACGTAAATCTAATTCAGTGTAAAAAAAAATTGTAACCTTTCTATTGTCTTGTGAGTCGATGTCGGCGCCAGCTGCATATAGCATTTCCACTACGGCAAGGTGGCCGCCATTAGCCGCCAGCCACAGCGGCGAGTTGCCTTTCTTGTTTTTCACTTCTACCGCTGCTCGCCTGCGTGATATTAATCAAGTATGTTACAGTAGTATTTTTGATACTATATGCTAAAACAATTTTTTTTTTCATTTGCTAACATGGATTTGCTTTTGTAATCATTCCATGTTATTTTGTCTTCTTTTATCAATTTAGTATTAATCGGTTTCTTTCGGTCGCTTCTTACGATGCCCACGGAATTATATAGGGTAATTGATATTCCCCCGCAACCAATATACAGCACTATCATCCAGGGGTGCCGTAAGAGGCGACAGAGGGGAAACTGGAGGAGGAGATGGGTGCAGTATCTTCCTGATGCCAACTGAAGGTAATAAATAGCATTAGTTGCCAACCTGCCAGTCATATGAGTCAACTTATGGGGAGGCTTATGATCAGCAGTGCACTTTTGATAGACTATAATGAATGAATGAAAAAAAAAATTATACGGTTATGCACACATATTACATTTGTGATTTATATTTTTTTTATATAAAACTAAAGTGACCACTAAGCTTACAGTCCATCTGATGGTAATGGATAGTAATATCCAATATTAAGCCCAATAATATTATTAGTTTTTTTTTAATTAATAAGAAATACGAGAATAAAAATATACACCAACATTCCAACTAGCAGTACATCATAACTTAGAAGAAAAATAAAATTGGTCAATTTTAGTAGCTACTGCAGTCCACTTTACATATAAAAGGCAACAAATATGTTACTACTTCTGAGGACAAAGATGGAATACCTTACTGGGTGTCTATACCCTTCAGAGCAGAACCCAGCAGAACCTATTCGAATTCTAGGCACAAAAGGAGTCTTAAACACCCAGAAAATATTACGTGTACGTATGTATTTTTGTAATAAATTGCAAGTGCAATGAAATAAAAGTTTAAGTAAGAAGGTGCGGCGCGCACCTCTGCAGCAGCAGCTCGACGAACTTGGTGTGTCCCTTGTCGGCAGCGATGGTGAGCGCGGTGTCGCGCGAGGAGGGCACGGGCGGCGCGTTGACGTCGGCGCCCTTGTCCAGCAGCACGCGCCCCACCTCCACGTAGCCGCCGCTCGCCGCCTCCATCAGCGGCGTCAGCCCCGTCTTCGCGCGGTGCTCCACGTTCGCCTTGCGGTCCAGCAGCAGGCTCACCACCTCGTGCCGACCTGCGTTACTGCACACCTATATACACCGCATCACTAACCCGTCCGCGTACGCGGTACTAACATACAGCGCAATACTAAAACCGAGCGTTTCGGTACGAAAAGTGGCAAAATGTCCTCAAATTTAATGAAATCTTCTAAATGTAATATAGTAATAAAAAAAGTCTTAGCTTTTGTCTATACAAATAAATAAAAATGTCTATTGTAATGTCAAAACAACAGCTCTTACAGTAAAGAGTAAAATATAATAAAAGTATATACAGTACTAAAAAAAAACCATTTCTAAAATTTTTTGTGTCTGTCTATTTGTTCCGGCTAATCTCCGAAACGGCTGTACCAATTATGACGAAACTTTCACTGGCAGATACCTGATATTATGAGGAGTAATTTAGACTTTTATTTTTAAAAAAGAATTAGAGCTCCACGTAAAAAAAATCAAAGTCAAGACGGGGGACAGCTAGTTAGTAATAAAGTTGATGTGATGATGTGAAAAAGGAATCAGCTAATGATTTGTTATATTTTCACGTCACGGCACATTAAATGAAACTAATTTTACGGATTTTAATTTAACTTTTTCATTCACAATTACAGCACCCATGGTCACGGAGGGAGTGGAGCGTTTGACGTCGTAGGAGTTTTGTCTTGTGTTCAGCGGTGAACATTAAATAGGCTGTATTGATAATGGTAATGATATGCGACAGCGTACCTTGGAAGCAGGCGAGCGTGAGCGCGGTGTTGCGGTTGGTCTCGATCTGCGCGTTGATATCGGAGCCGCAGTCGAGCAGCAGGCGCACGGCCGCCGTGTGCCCGTTCATCGCCGCCAGCATCAGTGGCGAGATGCCCAGCTTCGAGCCCGTGCGCGAGTTGATCTCCGCCTGTATATATGTTAACTTCATTAATAATATGCTTCATTCGTTTACTTCTAACTATAGTGAAAAAGCTTTAAAATATACTGAAGCGACAGAAATATCTAATTTGAATCTGCAATGAATATTATATGATTTCCTATTGGTTTAGCTTCACTCTATAATATCTTCTTGCTTTAGTTAAAATTACAGATTTCCATAATCGCTAAAATACGAGGGTGTATTGAAAAGTACTCGGCCTAACACAGATCCATTCAATTCTAAAAATCAAATCTACCCACATTATTTAGTTCAGTTCAGACTAGTTCATTGTGTGAAGTTCGAAACGTGTGCGATAATTAGTTGTGATTTTATAAATTTATTAACAAAGTAATCGGACATAATTTCCGCGAATGGAGCAAATCGAGCAGCGTGCCGTCATTAAGTACCTCCATAAGAAGGGGCTATCATCAAAAGCCATCCATGATGACATGGTCAGTACATTAGGCGATTGTGCTCTGTCATATTCATCCGTCAAAAAATGGATAGCAGAATTTAAGCGTGGTAGAGAGAGTGTGAAAGATGAACCTCGCTCTGGAAGGCCTTCGACGTCAACTACTGACGAAAATATTAAAAAAGTACTTGATTTAATAATGGGAGACCGCAGATTAAAAATTAGAGAGATAGCCGAGATCATAGGCATCTCTTATGAACGAACTCAAAATATCATTGTCAACGAGTTGGGTTTCCACAAGGTGTCTGCGAGGTGGGTTCCGCGACTGCTTTCAGTTGAACAAAAAAGGACGCGATTGACTATTTCACGCGACTGTTTGGAGTTATTTGAAGCCGATGCAGATGATTTTTTGAATCGTTTTGTTACTATGGACGAAACATGGGTTCATTACTGTACACCGGAAACAAAACAACAATCAAAACAGTGGAGAAGACCTGGTTCACCACCCCCTAAAAAGGCTAAGTCGATTTTGTCGGCAAATAAGGTGATGGCTTCAGTATTCTGGGACTCGAAAGGTGTGATTATGATTGATTATCTTGAAAGGGGTCAGAATATAAACTCTGATTACTACTGCACCTTACTACGTCGTTTACGAGAGGAAATAAAAGAAAAACGTCGAGGAATGCTCAGAAGAAAAGTCCTGTTTCATCAAGATAACGCCCGTGTTCACACGTCAGTACAGTCAATGGCTGAAATTCACAACTGTGGCTTTGAACTGTTACCGCATCCGCCGTATTCACCTGATCTGGCACCATCAGACTTCTTTCTGTTCCCTAACCTAAAAAAGCACTTGGGAGGTCAGATTTTCGACAAACGACGAGGTCAAAGCAGCTGTAGACGCATATTTTGACTCTAAGGAAGAATCATTTTTTTTCAACGGTCTAAATGCTTGGAAGGGGAGGTGGCAAAAGTGTATTGAACTTGATGGTGATTATGTAGAAAAATAAAAATATAACTGATTTAGTATTTGTTTATTTTCTTGGTTAGGCCGAGTACTTTTCAATCCATCCTCGTAACTAAGCACAAATACCTCACACCATTGATAGGCTCAACATTTAATTAATATTTTGGTATATATCCACCTGGACAAACAAGGAGTCGTTTACGATAATTGGCGGTGTACACGCCCCTAGCTGCCCCAACAAAGGTTGACGGGACTAGGGCCCATGAGTAATCCCATCGACGGTCAACAAGGAACGGGGCCCAACGGCCTATGGACAATTGACCTACACAATACGAGGGCGGCACTGAAAATTTCGGGAATCAAGGAAGTGACACAACATTACTATTTAATAATGTATTTATTGCTTTTCGAAGTATTCTCTGCGAAATTTGACACATTTTTCCATACGATGGAACCAATTATTGAAGCAACCATTCCATTCGGAAGTTGGGGTCTCCAAAATGGCCGTTTTGTAGGCGTCCACAGCTTCTTCAGGTGATGAAAATCTCTGTCCACGCAATTTATTCTTTATTTTAGGGAAGTATAGAAATCATTAGGGCTTAGGTCGGGGCTGTACGGCGGATGGTCTAATAATTCTATGTTTTCTTGCTCTAAAAACTCTTTTGTTCTGTATGCGGTGTGAGAACTCGCATTGTCGTGATGGAGGATGATGCGGCGGTTGCAGTTCTCTTTATGGCGCCTCTTCACGTTGGCCAACACAGTGGCGAATGTGTTGGCAGAGTTATTGGCCAAGAAATTGTGATCGCGTCCACACGTTGGAAGGTCGTTCAGTTTGCTTCGGTTCAGGCCAATGTGCGGACGAATTTATTAAAATGATTATTGATGCGCTAACGGCTGTTGCGGTTTATTTATTCACAGCATACAACTATTTTTTTTTATTTAATTTTCACTATTTGTAATATTTAATAATTTTAATATAAATTTTTAATATTTCATTATTATACACTAACGTTATACAGATAAGTAAACTATATAAACATTAACACACCTAGGCATAGGTATAATTAACTAAGGCTTGGAAAATATTCGAAGCCTGTCTATGAAACTGTTGTAAAATTTTTATTAAACAAAACCTTTTTAAAAAGGGTTATTATATAATTATAGAATATATTTATTTATTTACACTTTCATGCACAAAGTAGTACATATGACGAACTTAATAATAATAATAAATAATTTATTTCGTCAAACATTAAAGTTACATTATATGAACAGTGATCGGGGTCACCTAGTAAGTAAAATAATTCCTGTAACAGGTGACTTCGCTCTTCCATAGCTAAAAATTACAATATTATTAACGAAATAAAGTAACTAATAGGGAATAATAAAGACAGTAAAAACATGATTTTAGTATCCTACTTTTTAATTTGATTTTAATATATATTATATATTAAAGATTTTAAGATATTTCATAAATCAATTAATACTTGATGTATTAATTGATTTATGAAATAAATAAATAATAATTAATACATCAATCACTACAACGTGAATGTGTATAAGATAAGGGTGATCAAAAAGAAATGGATAAAAGAAATTTTATTTCTTGACGGGTCCGTGGCGTAGTGGCTTAGCAATGAGTTGCTGCCCTGGGGGCCGCGGGTTCGAATCCCGCACGGAACAAGTATTTGTATAGCCTGCACATAATTTCTCCGGGTCTGGATGTTTGTCCTTATGCAATTTATGTTTCTAACTGCCTCCACGATACAGGAGAAAATCCTAGTGTATAATTTTTTTTTTTAAAAGACTATATACTAGACTATATACTATAGACTATAAAGCGAAAAGTTTTTTCATTGGTCATTGTTACTGCCGTTATGTAGACACTATTGCGTGCATATAAAATTTAAATCAGGTGCGTGCATTCACTCTGGGAGCTCGTAGCAAACTGAACGTGCGCCCAACGTGTGGACGCGGCGGCCAATACCCTGCCACAACCCTTTGATCTTTTATAAAAAACCGACACCAGACGGATCTCGCGCCAGCTTGTGGGCCATCGTTCCAATACGTACCAACGTAGCTTAAACACCTACTCTACACGATGGCCATCGTTGTTGGCCAACACGTTCGCCAGTGTGTTGGCCAACGTGAAAAGCCGCCGTTACGGAGTTAAGAAACGACCTGTGGCAAACAAATGCTAGCATACCATTCTGCATTAACCGTTCTTTGTCCCTCAAGAGGAATAGTCGTAATATGGCCGGTTTTGGAGACAAACGTGGCCACCATTTTTTTGCAACACTCCGTGAACGAACAATTTTTGTTGGCTTTAACTCATTTTCGAACACCCAAACTCGTGACTGGTTTTTTGTTTCGGGTTCGTACGCGTATATCCAGGATTCGTCACCTGTGCCACCCCACGCCACCCGTTCTGCGTGGAATCTTTCGAGAGTTCTGACGCACCAAGTAACGCGAGTCGCTTTTTGCTCTTCACAGAGCGAATGCGGTATCCATCGGGAAAACAATTTTTTTACACCTGATTGTTCATGCAAGATTATTTGTATTTAACTCATGCCAATGTCTAAAGTTGCATGAATTTCGCGGTATGTCACATGTCGATCTTCCTCAATCAGCTTACGCACAGCATCAACGTTTTCTTGGGTGACTGCAGTTTTTGGACGACCTTGACGGGGATCATCACTGAGCTTGACACGTCCACGTTGAAATTCAGCAAACCAGCGATAAATTGTGGTTTTGGATGGGGCTTCATCACCAAATGCAGAAATCATCCGGTCAACACACTGTTTTTGTGTTAAACCACTTCGAAAGTTATAATAAATCATCGCTCTTGAATTTTCTCGAGTCAATTCCATTTTCTCAACGACTAAACAAGTTTGACAAAACCTTGTGACAAGACCAAGAATCTTTTTTTAAATAAATAAATGGTATTCAATTTTAAAAAACCAAGGACTTTTCAATTAAAAAGATTTTAATATGACAGGAACAGTGGAAATATTCCATTCCCGATACTTTTAGTGCAGCCTATGTAGAGATAAGGCTAGGTAAATAAATAGTACGTACCTGGTTCCGAAGCTAAGACCGCCCTAAGGCTCAGTCAGGCCGTAGTTAGGTGTAGGTGCATGTAAGTAGTGTATAGTAATGTGTATAATGTTTGACCTGACTTAACCGTTGAAGTGGGACCGCAGATCCAGCGTTGCTTCTCTCCAAAGGTGGTAGTTCACTTTATCCGACCTCAAGTCTGACGTCACTTCACTATTTCAGTTTATCAACTTTATTGTGCATTTAATTAACTTCAAACTCAACTAAATCCCCGTTAATCGTAATCAAAAAAGTAACACACGGCACGACTAATAAACGGTGGATCAAAGTTCACTTCCGTTTCACATAGCAACAAGATTATAACCACGAACAAGAACGCGATCTCTTCTCGAGTCACAAAGTTCAGCGTTACAACCGACAAACTAAATTCCTTCGCACGATATTAAATATACGCCCGCATTAAAATTCAAAGTCAGCCTAGCTGACACGCAAACTAACTACATAGACAGCACACAAAAGGCGACAATTAATCAACCAATTATTGACCAATTCCAAACAATTAATCAACCCGGCGTCTATTTTTCTAGAGTCCACAAACTCCTCGTCGTTGCATAAATTTGTTAACAAAACCGGCACTAATTAGAGGTAATACGGGACGACCTCACGCTGTGCTAGTGACTGCACTGCATTCATTCACTTCCGACCCACCCCGCAAGCAACCATTCCGATCTCGCGCGAACGTCAACCGATAGGAAATCACTGCGCTGCACGCCCCCTGGCGTCGACTCTTGAAATTCGCGTTTGGCGCGAACAGGCAGATTGAAACCAACGATATTAACTATCGCAATTCGAATACATCCCCCAATATGTACAATATGCCTCAAGCCATTGGCTAACCTGTCTTCGTCTTTTTTCCTAAAGGCTACTTGCAGCCTATGGACCTGCATGCAATTTATTTCAACGAAAACAGGCTACACATGCGAAGTTTTGTTTTGTTTTACCATATGTCCAAATACTTAAATTATTGAATAAAACTATTTTTACGGATTTTATCGCGTTTAATTAACTTATTTTATATTCCCGACGTTTCGGTTGCTGAAAAGCAACCGTGGTCACGGGGGACTGAGGTGATTGACGTCCCGATGTCAGAGTTAAACCGTAGTACCTTCACCTTTTTTAATTAATACTTTTGGTCCGATCTACGCAGAATGAACGAACTGTGCCTTGAAGTCTTGCAGTGGTATACTTGGGTTTAGTTTTAATTTTATGAATTAAAGAATCCCAAGCAGGTGGTAGTACCCAGCCTCCCTCACTATTGAAATTAGGATGTTTTTTAATTTCAATAGCCTCACGTATCATCCTTGGCAGGAATCGATGTTCTTTCGCGAGAATTTGTGGTTTATCAAATCTAATGTAATGGCGGGGGCTTCCCGGAACGTTGGTGCTTCACGTCAGCTATGTGTTCTTTTACGCGGGTTTTTATAGATCGTTTTGTTTGACCTATATATGAGAGACCACACTCACAATCAAGCTTGTACACTCCTGTATCTTGTAGAGGAATATGGCACTTGACGGATGGTAAGAACTGACTAATCTTCATCGGCGGTTTTATTTTTATTACAAGACAATATAAGAAATCATTACTCAAATTATGCTCAGTTTAAAGGTGTCGTTAAGTCTCGTGCTGTCCCTATCACTTTTAGTCAAAGTGACTGTGACACTACGAGACTTATTGACAGCGTTAGCGTTTGAGTATTTGGCCATTAATGACATATTTCTAGGGTTTGTTTTCTTCGACACAGCAAAAAAATACCGACGCGAGCGGACGAGCGGTACCTGGTGGTGCAGTAGCAGGCGGATGATGTTGACGTAGCCGCCGGACGCGGCGAGCGAGAGCGGCGTGTAGTCGGACACATTGCGGTGCTCCTTGTTGGCGCCGCGGCTGAGGATCAGCTCCACCACCTCGTAGCGGCCGCCGCTGCAGGCCAGCGACAGCGGCGTGTCCTTGGTGCGCTCCGACTGCGCCTCGATGTCCGCGCCGTGGTTCAGCAGGATCTCCACGATCTTCTCGTGGCCCGCCGTCGCCGCCAGGATCAACGGCGTGAAACCCTACACACAAATAAGTTTTATCTATTTTTAATACTTATTAAAGTAAGTTAACTTACTTAAGTAAGTAAGTATAATTTTTTTAGACATAGAAATTGCCTCTTTTATCATTATTTTATGCTGTAAAATGTACTTTATAAATATTTAATGTAACTATTATAGAATGAATGCATAAAATATTTTGAAACAAAAGCTAAATTTTTTTGAATTTAAAAATAAGATAAATACATTAGACAATAAAAGAAAGAAATAAGGCGTGTATTCACTAATACCATACACGTGTTTAAATGAAATAATTAATGTAAAAATAATGAAAGTTTCAGATTAGTGTTAGGCAGCAAGCCGAGGACCTACAGGGTTGGTAATTCCACTAGATGGGAGTAATAATCTGATAAAAATTTGACATGAGAAATTAAAATTTAGTTCATCAAACATCAACCTATTTTATAATCAACTACCATTTAAAAATAAGATTCCTTTGTCCGGAGAAGATAGCGCGAAATAAACTCCGCAGGTATTCTCTTTTTTTAAAGTCAATGATGTAATAGTCTTCAAGTAATCAAGTTTGAAAAGGATATAGAAATTTTATTAATGAAATATTAATATTTATATTGTTGTTGTGTGCGTAAACTTGTGAGTCGAAATTGTTATCGAGTATAGTCAGAACGGCACGCGAGCAGCCCCGGTTCGATCCTCGCCGGCACCAATGAAATTGTTAATTGCAAATTTTAGTGCTGATTTACCACGTGGTCGGCGGTGAAGGAAAACTTCGCGAGGAATCCGGCATGTCTGAGAAATATGAAAAAAAAATTCAAAGACGTGAAGTTCGCCAACACGCATTGGGGCAGCGTGGCAGACATTTCCTTGCCCTAAAACCCTCTCAGAAATGAGGGGAGGCCTGTGCCCAGCAGTGGGACGTATATAGGTTGTATTTTTATGGTCAGAACGGAAATCAAACCGAGAAAACTTGCTTGCAATGTAAAAAAAAATTATATATTGTTTATAAAGCAGCAGAGTAGGGCTTGCCCGCTAGGCTCGGTTCCTAATAAAGCATCTATGTTTTTTTATAACATAAGGGTGACAAACAAGCACACAGTCCTCTTGTTGGTAAGTGAATGCTGTGACCCATAGACTCTACATTTATCCTCAATTAAGAATCAAAATGCAGATGCGTTGTCACCCTTGAGGAATAAGATGGAAAAGGCATTCTTTAAAATATAATATACCAGTAAAAAGGGTCTGTGGCGGCGCTGTCGTCGCGCCACAAGCGAAACACATCGAAGCCTAAATCACGCTAAGTTCCGAAGTTAAAGCAGTGTATATAGAATAGCTTCGAACTACCACTCGGAGCATTGGCCGCTCCCCGGGCAGAACACCTTGCTCGGCGGGAGATCTCCCTTTTTGCTTCCACTCGCCACAGGTTTTCTCAGTTTTCTACATTGACCATACCAAGCGCAGTAACAAGCATTAAGGCCTTAACAGTGGTTGAAATGCCTAAATCTAGGATATTTAAGTAAAAAAATCTCAATAACTGTTCATTTAATCCACAAAGAAAAAATACAGGGTAACAGAAGAAGATTTGGTAAATGTTTTTAATTTAACAAAATTGTATTTTTGTCAACCCCTTATTAGAAAAAAAATCCCCAAAGAGTACCTATCTTTGTCATATTTTGCAAAATTTCTCCAAAACGGCACAAGCTTTTTAAATAGTTCTTACACTAAAAAAAAGGTCTTAAAAATATTAATATTTTTAATTGAGAGTTTTATTTTTATTACCCGTTTTATAAGAGAATATATCATTTTTCATTGAAATTGAATATATTTACGCGAGCGCGCATGCTCCGTCGCCATGTAAGCTCTGTCACAGTCCGTTTTCGGACATCGTCGAGGGTGGATCGCACGTCGGTGTTGGAGCGACTTTGTTCAAATATATATTAGTTTTTTAAAAGTTTATACTCAATTATAAGTACTTTTATGACTAGAAATACTTAATTTAGTTAATATCTGTACACTGGTAACTGTAAATATTATTTTCTAAATAGATAAATTTTTAAAGTGCCCAAAGAAGAAGAAATTTTTGCGGCGACGTTGATTAGTGAAATTGAAAAATGCATTTTCATATAATTTAGATGTGGAACGACGAACATGCTCTCCTTACTTAGATTGCGATAGTTTTTAATACCTATGTAATTTTATTGTTGCATATTTTTATTAATTAGTTGATAATGAATTTTATAATTATGTATTACAATAAAACGCTGTTTTTATAAGTATGACTTTATAAAATATTATTGGGGAGAGAAATAAAGATACAGATACATTTAGGTACACTGTTATCAAACTAAATCAAACAATTTAAATAAATAAAAGAATGGTGCTTACCTAAGTATAAATAACTATATAAAGACATTCTTGGGTTTATGGTTTTTTTTTTGTTAGACAAACTATCATCTAAAAAATGTAAAAATTTTTAATTGGAGAGGGGTTTCTCTACGTGATAAAGTTAGAAATGAAGGTATTTGCATTAGAAAAAATAATAATTTTGATTCGTAATCGAAGATAGATGTAGATGTCTATGGGCCGCAGCAACCACTTACCATCAGGTGGACTGTGGGCTCGTTTGTCACCCTCATCCTATAAAAAAAAATAAAAAAAAGTAACTGACATAGCTCAACGGAATATTACAGTGAAATGGCAATGGGCTAGCTATATAACTTGGAAAACATAAAAAATAGGAAGGAAGGTCCTCGAGTGGCAACCTCGTACAGGTAAGCGAATTAGTACTCAACCTTTATTCCTCTTCACGTATTCTCATACGTTTTTCTTCACACACATACACACACACACACACACACACACACACACACACACACACACACACACACGCACACACGCGCAAGCACGCACGCGCGCGCACACACACACACACACACACACACACACACACACACACACACAAACACAAACACACACACACACAAACACAAATAGGTCGCAAATAATACTTACCTAGTACTATTAGGCAAGAGTGAATAGGTTTTTGTTAAGTCAGTGCAATTCACCATCTTAGACTACATAACCACTTACCGATGGGATTGTAGTTGCTTTACTACTTGCTGGGTAAAAATAGTAAAAAAAAAAATTTACCCTGTGAAAGTTTGCATTTAGATATAATTTTTCTAACCAACCATAAAAATATGATGAGAATATGTATATAAGTATAAAGGTTGCCTCACACGGAATAGTAATAATATAATATTATATCTTCCATTATCTCTGAAATCCGAGGTATGTTCATATTAAGGGGCTGAATAGAGCCACATTGAAATGCATGGGGATGGTTTTGTAATTTCACGTCATTATCGAAAAAAAATTGTACGTATTTCAGGTGGCGGTTTGCAAAACACGATTCCACAAAAATTAACTCAATAGAAAATAATTGCAAAGTTGCTTCTAAAAAGACTTAAATTTTCAACGTCAATTTTTTTTTACGTGGTAGAGCCAAGCTACAGCTATATTTATTAGGTATAGTTGTAGCACGAATGGGTCGGCTCGTCCGGGGAAAGGCCACTCTCTCATGGAATAACATGTAAAATAGCAGTTTAACCCTGCTGTGTTTCGTAGGGTGAGTGTAGAGAAACGGAGGACCTTTTTACTGGAAACGAGGCATTACATCTTAGTCCTCACGGGTGACAACGCATCTACATTTTGATACGTAATCTATGATAGATGTAGATGTGTATGGGCCGTAGCAACCACTTACCATCAGGTGGACTGTGTGCTCGTTTGTCAACCTTATTCTATTTAAAAAAAACTTTCTGAGATTTCAGTAAAATAATGTTAAGTATTGTACTCTCTACTTGTTTGTAAGTGTACTCGTACAATTATGTCTCATGTTAATAAAGCTATTGGGCTATTTTGATTTGTAATAAAGTGATTTTACTTTATAGGTTAAATAATTTATTTACCTTTTTATATCAAGAACCGTTTTTCTGTCACTCCTATTGAATTTGACAGTGCTTGCTGAAATTTAGCATCTTTAGATGGATCAGAATCGCCCGCTGATCCGGCTGTTAGATATTGCAAAAATAATCGAAAATATTTATTTATACTTTCATGCCCAAGACTACCTTGTTTTTTTTTTTGTTTTTATATTGTTTTTATAATATAGGGTGACAAACGAGCACACAGTCCACCTGATGGTAAGTGGTTGCTGTAGCCCATAGACATCTACATCTATCCTCAATAAAGACTCAAGATGCAGATGCGTTGTCACCCGTGAGGACTAAGGTGGAATGCCTCTTTGCCAGTAAAAAGGGTCTCCGGTTCTCTACACTTACCATACGAAACACAGCAGCGTTAAGCTGCTATTTTACGTTGGTTTTCTGTGAGAGCGTGGTCCTTCCCCGGGCGAGCCGACCCATTCGTACTACAACTATACTACTAATATAGCTGCAGCATGGCTCTACCACGTAATAAAAACGTTTTATTTTATTACGGTCAAATAATATTTATAAGGTTATAAAGCAAGTATTTTTGTAAATGTTTTGTATGTAAATGTAAATGTTTTCATTATTTTGTTATTCTATTGTTTACATTTATTATCACGTCTTAGCTTTACACCAAGAATTACATTAGAAATTCTTGATGGGATGCGATGTAACGCGCATACATTATTTTCATCAAGAACTATAATATATATATATATTTGTTTTTTTTTTTTTACCAGTAGAGTTTCAACAAAATCTTAAAAAGGTTCAATGAATTAAAAAAATGCCAATAATTATATAATTTCAAATCAGTGTTTTACATTTAAAGATCAGTTATAAAGAGCCAATGTTATTATTTTCATTTTGATTAATTTAATTCGAGACTAAAATAAATGTGAAAGGGCTTTTATCTGCAATAATAATTTTCATCAAAAATAACATAGACTTATAAAAGTCATATACACGGTCAATCATACTGAAGATTATCAATTGTACTACAAAATATTTAAAAGAGTATTTCCAGTATAATGACCCGAATATCATCATTAATGTTTGACTGGTACAATACGGCCGACGTATCTTGGCGAGTCCGACCTTCGCGCAGAAGGTTGCGCAATAGCTTTTTTAAGGAACAAAATGGTGGCATGAGGCGACGTACGGGGGGCGGTGGTCTAGGCTAGAGATTGACCATAAGTAAACACAATCGACCCTTTAGTCATAAAATATCGCAATCGATTAGTTTTATTTAGAAGTTATTGATTTTTGTTTATATAAGATATTAAACGAAATAGATTTACAAATATAGTGAATTTTGTTGATAATAAACAAGATTTCGACTTAAATAAAAAAAAAAAACTAAAAACATATTATTTTCTCAGCTGAAAGACATAATGTACTTAAATATCAATTATCTATTAACGTCTTCTTGAGTAACGACTATTTGAGAAAATTTAGAACCTCCTTATAAATTGCAAATAAATATATTTTTATGTCTTAATTTTAATCGATTTGAATAAAAATCGATTAAACAACACCCTCAGGCACGCGTGTTGGACATCCCTTTCTGGTTACTTCGTAAAGCTTCGTGCTTATTCGGCAATGCTCGGTACACGGTAATATTTCTCAGTCACACGTTAGCATTGGTGTCGTGTTCGTGTCGCTATCTCTGTCTTGAGCACAGTCGGTTACAAAAGTTTTCGTTGTTATTGTTGTTTGTTTTTATTAATAGTGTTAAGTTTGTTTTGTTTGTTTTATTTGTTTTATTTGTTTTATTTGCAAGTGTCAGTTAGCACTTATATTATTCGCCAAACATGCCACCAAAACATAACAGTGTGTTAAATCGCCAGGCGAGAAAAATTATTTACGATTTAACGCAATATATGAAAAAAGAAAAAGAAGAAGGCGTAAAAGATGTCGATAAAGTTTATTTAAGAGTTGCTAACGCAACTGGTGTGTCCCAACGCACAGTACAGCGGATCGCAACTGAAGGCAATATTTCGGGCTTACTTTCAGTATTCCGCACGCCTGGTAAAAAAAGGTCTAGATCAAAACCTATTACTGATATGGATAATTTTGACCAGGGAGTAGTAAAAAGATGCATACACAACTTCCACAAAACTGAAAAAGAAATGCCGACGATAAACAAATTACTAGCGAAACTCAAACGGGATATAAATTTTCAAGGTGGTAAAACGAGCTTAAAGACAATTATCAAAAACTTGGGTTTCAAGTGGCGAAAGACCGAAACCAATAGAATGGTTCTTATAGAGAAGACCGACATTCGCCTGAAAAGGATCTTGTACTTGAAGGCAATGAAAAAATACAGGGACGAAGGGCGACCAATTGTATTCACTGACGAGTCGTATGCCCACTCATCACATACAAAAGGTAAGGCGTGGTCAGATGGTTCCGCTCAAGGACTAAAGCGCCCGATATCAAAAGGTCAGCGGATAGTGATGGTACACGCTGGGTCAGAAGCAGGGTTTGTTCCGAACGCGCTACTAATGTTCAAATCTGGCAGCAAAACCGGAGACTATCATGATGACATGAATTTCAAAAATTATGAGAAATGGTTACGGACCCAACTGATTCCAAATTTGAGCCCTAACTCGGTGGTGGTTATCGATAATGCTCCGTACCACAACAAATTAATGGATCCTGCCCCTACATCTAATGACAAGAAGGCAAAAATGGAATCGTGGTTATTAGAAAAGGGTATACCATATGAAAAGGACATGCGTAAACCACAACTTTACGATCTAATAAAAAAAAACAAAGACGTGAATAAAAAATACGTAATAGATGAAATGTTTAAACAAAACAACCACGATGTCCTTCGTTTACCCCCATATCATCCCGATTTAAACCCCATCGAGATGGTGTGGGCTGCCATTAAAGGGCACGTAGCCGCTAAAAACGTCGACTGGAACGTAACCCGGACAATGGAGCTCATACAAGAAAAAGTAAATTTAATGGGTCAGAATGAATGGAGTGCTTTATGCAGAAAAGTGCAAGAGGTCGAACATGACTATAGGAAGAGCGACCATATTATTGACGAAATGACGGATCAATTATTCATCATTAATACAGCTTCAGATTCAGAAAGTGAGTCTGAAAGTGAGAGCGACGATTACGAAGATGAACCTATGCCAAGTACCTCACATGGTACACAAGGGGCCGACGACTTTATGTTAGGAATTTCCCCCCTCAGCGACAGTGATTAAATAATAATAAGTGTAAATAAATAAAAAGTATTAAATGTAAATAATATTGTATGTGTTTGTGATAAAATCTGCCCCTATCGAAAGGTGAGGTATCAAAATTGAATCTTTAATTTATAATGTCTCCAAAGTGTTTTGATATTTTTGGTCACTGTATTAGGGAAATTTTATTTGTACATTGGTATATATAAAAAAATGACAATAACAGTTTTCTTCACGAGTGTTCATGCGCTAAACTTCGCAGAGCCTATATTCAGACTCGCCAAGATACGTCGGCCGTATTATACACTTAAAAGTTTTATCACATGGCTAAATGATTGACTTTTATATTATGATAAGGTCATGCTTTTCTATAAAAAGTTGCAAGAAATTTTAATTCCCGGCCCTATTGGTTTGTTTCACTTTTTACTTAATTAGTGAAAAACAAAATGGACTGATCTAAAAGTTTACTTTCTTGTGTAAAAAGTGCTATTTAGAATTTTATGCAAATGATAATTAAAGTTTCTATGTAAATAAGTGTAACATAGCGGGAATTATATTCAATGGTAGCGGCCATCCGTATTTGCAAAGACAGCATCATTTTCTGTACAGAAACCGGCAAAGTGTTGCTCAATGCACTATAAACAAAGCAGCTGATAAAATGTTACACTCATAACTGTTAACAAAAACTGTTTTCCCAAATGGTCTTATAGATAATAATAACTATTCCGCTGTGTTAGGTGCAGGAGCTATTATTAGAAGTAGAAGAGGTAAAATTTTGTTTTAGAAATGCGCAATCAATATTGTTTTGTCTGCAATTAAGCATAAAATAAAAAATAACTTCAGCCAAAGAGCATAACTGGCATTATACTCTGGCCCATCAATTGGTATGGAAAAAAGTAATTTTACCAGGTTTCAAAATATCAATCAAAATTCAAAAAACATAAATATAAAAATCATAAAATGTATATATGTATGTCTTTACATACATATAATGATTTATGGCCGCTTAGTAACTGACGGTGACTCACTATAACATCCTACAGTCACGCCGAAACTAAGAGGAGAGAATCACTGTAGAAAAGGTAATAATTTATTGCAGAAATTTTGTGATAAAATTAAAAAAAATATAAACTTATCCAAGTTAATCTAACTTAGTCTAATTTATCCTTATGCGTACAAAAAAAACAAATAATAAAATAGTGAGATGGCGTCAGTTTTTAAGAAGATATAACAAAAATAAATAAAAAAAATAAATTTCAATAAAGTTCAGTATTTAATTGATTATATACCGCTGACACTTAATCACGCTTTTCGAAACCACGCCAGTTGTAAACAATACTTGTGTGAAAAGACAAAATCTTCTTTTCAAATTTCCGCCGAGTTGTAAGTAGAAGGCCAAATATTGGTAAAAATTAAAACAGGAATTTTACGATTGTGTTTACAAAAAACATTATTAGTTGAACCTTGCAGCTTGTTCATTATTTTTATTATAAATACCTATAAATGTATATATTATTAATAAATAGTTCCCATAATATATTGGATTATTTTTTATTTTGCCCTATCTGCAATGTTCTACGCTCTATAGAAAATGTGGCGTATGACATGACTGACAATCTTTCGAACGTTTTATCTAGGTACAAAGATGTTTTACGTTTTCGTCGCCTCCACATGTAATTTTTGTCAGCATAAGGTACTCTTCTATATCTGAAACGAATATAAATATTGCTACAAAGTTAAGTAATAAGCTATACAAGTCCCTCTACTAGGCACAGGTTTCTTTTTTTATTTCTGAGAGGGTTTTAGGGCAAGGAAATGCCCGCCGTGCTTCCCCAATGCGTGTTGACGAAAATTGCAATTACAAATTTCATTCGTGCTGTCGGGGATCAAACCCGGGAAAATTTACAGCGAATGCCTTGACGACATATTTTTAATACGACACAAATAAATACGATTTAACATATATAATAAAAATTCTTACGTACTTGAAACTTGAACACTTGATAGCTCGTGATGCCTACCGGACAAAGCTACAGCACCACACCGTGCAATGTAATTGAAGATGCGTAACCGCGACATAATTCTCAGTGATGCGCAAGCGTAACAGGCAGTATGTCACTTTATAATTGTCATCTCTGCAGTCTATTAATCTTTGCACTTTTATAAGTAATACAGAACGTAGTTGCTAGACGGTGTTGACATCGGCTAAAATCTCTGCGATCGCCGTTTCGTCAAGGTCATTCAGGCTAGTTAAAGCCTTAAGCTGCAATTTCACGCTGGTATTCTGTGAGAGCGTAGTCCTCAGCCTCTTGAGCCGACACATTCGTGCTACAACTATAATATAGCTGTAGCATCTACCACTTATAGATTAATTAATTAATGTGAAGTTTGCAAAGTAACAGAGTATGGCTCTTTCGTACGTAAAATTGATGCGATTTTGGGTATTAAATGTCTGCGACGAAATGGTAACGATAAAACTAGTGCTTCGATGTTGATATAAACCTCGTGTTATTGTGACCGTTTAAGTGTCTTAAGATCATGAAATACTGTCGTCAAAGATTATCCGTTAGGTTCAGCTATCGTCAATATCTCCCAAGAACTCAACGTGATTCATCGGCATATTGTGAAGAAGTTTTTGTAACAAAATATTATAATTTCTTATTACCTGACACTGGCAAAAGTATAACTGTAAGATTCCATAAGCAGAGAAAGAAAGCATGTATGTATGTATAGCGTACCTTCTTATCGCGGTGCTCGATGTCCGCGCCGCGCGAGAGCAGCAGCTCGACAAGGTCCTCGTGTCCGCCGGCGCAGGCGAGCGTGAGCGCCGTGTCGTGGTTGGAGTCGGTCTCGCCGTCCACGTCCATGGCCGAGTAGGCGGCGGGCGCGGGCAGCGGCGGCGCCGCGCCGAACGCCTCCGCGCGCGCTCCCCGCACGCCGCCCGCACGCCCCTGCGCACCGCCACAATCAACCTTATGTCCTATTGCTAACGTTGCAAATGCTATGGTGGCGGCACGACACGGAATGTAATGAATGTAACCTCAAATTTACACCAAAAACAAAATTGTATAAAAAAAAGCGTGCACGCCTCGCACGTCGCCCTCAGGACCCTGCGCACCGCCACAATCAACCTTATGTCCTCGTAGTAACGTTCCAAATGCTATGTGTACACCAAATACCAAGTTATTAAAAAAAAGAATGGCCGTCCCGCACGCTTCTGCGCACCACCATAATCAACCTTATGTCCTCGTGGTAACTTTTCAAATACTATTTGTGCCGTCACGTGACGAAACGTAACCACGTCATGTTGACGTCACGTCAATGTACACCAAATACTAAGTAGAACCAGGCCTGTCTCACTCCGCGCTTGAAAATATTACCTACGCTGCGGGGCTAATTCCGTGAGGTTGTCACGCGCCCGCTCGAGCTGACACACTCCTTACGTCAACATAAAAATTATTTTTCTTTAATAAGTATTTAGGCACTTTGGTATTTATTTTTGAGTTTTTATTCAAGTATAGCCTCTCAAAAAGCCAAAAGGTACTGCATAGCATACGGGTGCTTAAATAACAATAAGAATGTCGACTTCATTCTTTACTGTTCCTAAGGATACCGTAAGGTAATATATTATTATTTATAGGTAGATCTAGATAATTAGGTACTTAGTTACTGATGGCAAAGTTACAGATTTAGTATTTGAATTGTGACCCGACCACAGCTTAGTAATTTCAGATTTTGGTTATTAGTTTAACATTTGGTCGAAATAATTATTCTGGGTATGTTCTATGTATGTAAAGTGTCCCTGCGATAAAGGAGAAAATAGTAATGTGGAGGTAACGTTTTTCAAAAAGAGAGGAAGAGAGACAACTAATGAAATTAAAAATTTTGTACAACCGACTTCCATATAAATACGCATTATTATAAAGGATAACTCCAAAACTACTGGTCAGATCTTGATCAAATTTATATGGGATGTATAAATTATAAGCACCAGCTTTCACATAAAATAGATTCAAACAAAATAAAAAAAAAATACTAATACATTGCATAACACCTCGGTGTATTCTACTATATATACCAACTAATATCAAAGGATTCAATTTGTTTTCTCACAACGCTATATAATCCTACGTAGATGCGGTCTTAACAAAGACGCGTAACAGGCTAAGTGATACAGACATTCGCACATCGACGTAAGGTGCATTTTGATTTAATACGTGCGCCGTATTAATTTTTGTTTCGACGTAGAGTAATTTCACGAAGGTCACTTACGAGGCGTGCAAATTATTATGAATATTAGCAACGTTGTAACTAGGTGTAAAGTCGCAATTTTGCTATCAGAGAGTGAGCATGTGCTATTATTTATTCTGTGGTAAAACTTGTATAACAGTTGCTTTTTTTATAGAATAAGGGTGAAAAACGCAGACCGTCCACCTGATAGTAAGCGGTTGCTGTGACCTATAGACATCTACATTTATCCTCAATTAAGAATCAAAATGCACATGCGTTGTCACCCCCGACAACTGAGATGGAATGCCTCGTTTCCAGTAAAAAGTGTCTCCGGTTCTCTACACACACCATACGGAACACCGCAGCATTAAGCTGCTATTTTACGTTGGTATTCTGTGAGAGCAAGGTCATGAGATCACCCCGTTCGAACCGTCCAATTCGTGCTGCAACCACAATATAGCTGCAGCTTGGCTCTACCACGTGTTTATGAGTGCAATACACCTCTTACTCTCTGATTGCCTTGCTGAGCGAGTGGTCGTAAAAACGGTTGTGATCATGAGGTCCTAGGTTCCCATCCCGGGTCAGCCAAAATAGTACTGGGACGGTGCATTCAGGCACTATAATCCTGTTCTACGCAGATGAGTAGTCCCCATTGAGACTAGCCGCCATGACCAAACTCGGTCGTGTGGACATTATAATTATTATTACACCTCTTATGATGATGGGATATGCAAAATATGCACTTTATTTTTTATGTTCAAATATTCTCTCGTTTTATGACTCTTGGGCATTTTTAGTCTTCAATTATTTTGACATCACAAATGATGACAAACTAGACCCTTCATTATTTAAATTGCATTAAAAAATACATTAATACATACCTTCTTCTTGAGAGCAACAGAGTTGTTGGCGTGGTGCAGAGGTGGTTCTCGTTTGGCATGAGGCTGAGGCTGAGGCAAGGTCTGGGGCTGTGACTGGGACTGGGTCTGAGGCTGAAGTTGGAGCTGGGGCTGTGGTTGGGTCTGGGTCTGAGGCTGAAATTGGGGCTGGGGCTGAGGTTGTGTCTGTGGCTGGGGCTGGGGTAGCGGCGCACTGACAGTGGCGCTTGCGCTAGGTAGCCCCGTGCCTGTGCTTGGTAAGCCCGCTCCCGTACTTGATAAGCCCGTGCCCATGCTTGGTAAACCTGTGCCCGTGCCTACGTTCGCGAACGTTCTGGAAACAAATCAATGTTATATTCAACTGGAAGCAGATAATTAAAAAATGGACTTTATTTTTAAGTAACCTTTCTCTCAAATTAGGACTTTCTCCTATATTGTGGAGGCAGTTTATATACATAAATTGCGCAAGGATAAATAACCAGACCCGAAGCAATTATTTGTAGGCCATACAAATACTTGTTCCGCGTAAAATTTGAATCCGCGGCACTCAGAGTCGACGCTCGTTGCTACGACACTGCGCTACCGAATCGTCAAATAAAAATCTATTTAGCTGTAATATTCTATGACTTATCTAGCACGATGCGAAATCAGAAACTCTTCGTCAATAACAAAATAAATAATAGTACTTTAAGTTTGAAATACAAACGAGCAGTCAGTCTAGTTAAAAAAAGTTTATTTACCTGTGGTCTTCATAAGGTAAGGTGGGTGGCGGAGGCGGAGGTTGCAGATCTGGCAGCGGCTCAGGTTCCGCGCTGGGCGCCGCGCCGGCCGCCGCGCCGCCCACTGCGCCGCCCGCCACGCTCGCCGCGCCGCTCACAGGCGACGGCGGCCTGACCCGGTATTGGCAGCCGTTGCCTGTCTGCTGCAAGCAAAAGCAAATCATCATTATGTTTATGTTTACAGTAAAATGGAAAAGTTGCTTTTAAAATAAGTAGTCATTAATGCAACTTGACCAGGAAAATAAAATCTTCTCCCAAACACGTTATTAATTTTGGTGTTGACCGGGAATTAAAATCAAGCTAAAATAGACTTAAAATAAATGGAATTATCGATCACAAATACTTAAAGTAATAGGCTAATTATTCATGATGGCATGATTATATTATTTATTTCTTGAAATGTGGTTTTATTATTTTGGTCAGGCTGCACTTAATGCTATTAGTAGAGAAGCGCTGGATACCGGAAGGTCAGCGTGGTGGTGATGGTGATGGTGGTGGTGGTGGTCCTGGCGCACACCCCAGTCAGTGGTGAGCGCCTCTTCGGTGGCAGCCAGCAGGCGGCGCGTCTGCCGCTCGGCTTCATCTGCCTCCGCCTCCGTGGCAGCCTCCATGCCACATTTGTTCGCCAAGATCTCATGCGACTTTTGTTGCATCACCTGCGGAAATATTTTATATATTGCACAAGCGATAAAATAAAATAATAATAATATAGATAGTGCAATAAAAATTTCAGGTGAATGATTAAAATTAATGACATATTCTTTACTGTACACCTATAAACAAAAGAAAAGAAAAAAAGAACAAATTATATAAAGGTACAATTGGGAAGTCGTGGTAGCTCAGCTCAGCTATGGTGCTAAAAGCGCTCGCTGTAAATATCACGCGAGCAATCCGGGTTCGAACCCAGCCGGCACCAATGAAATTGTTAATTACAATTTTAAGGTCTCATTTACTATTTCGAAGACATGTGAAGTCCAACAACAAGCATTGGGCAGCGCGGCGCACTTTTCTTAGCCCTAAAACCTTCTCAAAAATGAGAGAAGGCCTATGCCCAGGAGTGGGACGTACTAGGCTCTAACTTTAATTTTAATTATTGGCAGCCTAATTGGTTTATTATGAACAGCTTCAATAGAAAAGGATTTAGAATGGAAGAAAGTATTATGTCACCAAGAAACTGAGAAAGAAAGAAATTGAATAGCACAGAGTATAAAAGAGAAACAATGTGAGTATTCCTGCGAAGACGGATCGGAAGCCAGTTTTCCGCGAAATTCGGAGACATGGTTATATGTTATGAGTCCAAATATGAACCGTATACAAAGTTTCTGGATGCGTCCAAGTTTATTAAGCAACTTCTTATTTAAATTGAGATAGCATGTGTCAGCGAAATCGAGAATCGGTAAAAGGAGTGATTGTGCAAACACAGATTTAGTTGGTATGAATAGGACATTGTTTAATCTACGGAGAGATCCGACCAACTCATACACCCTCCTACTCACCTCACCTACCTGTGGAGTCTAAGATAAAAATTTATCAAAAGTAAGACTTTTTAATGGTGTTACTATATATTTTTCACGGTGTCTCGTCAAATACAATACCCGGTAGAGTAGGAAAATCTAAAATGTAACCAATTTTTGACTGCCTATTATTATTGTCTGTGTTTTAGTTGGATTTACTTTAATTTTAATTACTCCAATTCACAATTGAATCAAGATCTTTACTTATTAAGACTATAGTTTTGGGTAAATCCAGCAATTTGGCATGTATATACTTGGAGATCATCTGTATACAGTGGTAGTGAGAAGATAATTGGAGCGTGATAGAAATTTAAAATTTCAAAAAGGAGAGGAAGTAATACGTTTCCTATGCTGGCGAGCAAACAAGAACTCTTAAGCCAGTCAATTACTTCAAAAGATATGTTAAGAGAAGTTAAGAGAAGCTAAGATAGGTAAAATCAACATTGTTAAATACTAGTAACACTATGAACATTACTAATACTCCCGTCAACCATTCTGTCTTTATTTTATGTCCGCTTATACTTTATAATAGACGTTTAATTTTAGGCAGGAATCCTAGATGGATAGTTGTGTGTGAGTTTGGAGGCAGTGGGGTGCGGTGAGTTACCTGCAGCACGAGCGAGCGCAGCTCGTGCGGCGGCAGCGCCACGAGCGAGGGCACCTCGCGCTGCAGGTACGTCAGCACGGCGCCCAGCTCGCGCGCCTCCACGCAGCTGCCCGCCGCCTCGCTCACCTGCACAACGTCACAACTCAAACTTTACCCTTATCGCCCCTACTGGTCACGTGTGCTTTAAAATTGCTATAAAGTGGACTGTCATTGGAATTATTTCGTTGAAATTTGCAACCGACACATAAAACTGAAGGTATCTGGAGAACGCCGTGTCAGCCATTACATAATACGCGGCAGCTTTTGCTGTCACACGGATGGGCCGGCTCGAACCGGGGTGGTACCACGACCTCACAGAATACCAGCGTGAAGTAGAGGTTTACCTCTGCGTTTCGCTTGGTGAGTGCAGATGGCCGGAGGCCCTTTTTACTGGAAATGAGGCATTCCATCTTAGTCCTCACGGGTGACAACGCATCTGCATTTTGATTTGTAATAGAGGATAGATGTAGATGTCTATGGGCCGCAGCAACCACTTACCATCAGGTGGACTGTGTGCTCGTTTGTCACCTTTATCCTATAAAAAAAATTAAATAGATATAGCGAGCGTGACACAATATGCTTCCTCGTGCAAGCGTGTTTTTACTTAGACTTCTTCTTCTACTCGGTTGTCGGTCGCAGGAAGGAATTAATGGAATGAATGAAAGGTATTATAGAGGAAATCTGATTCGTCAATAAGATTTACCAAAAACGCGGAATATTTTAATTTGAGAAGTGGCGGTAAAACCTACCTACCACTTAGTACACTCAAACAAAATTTCCATAATGTACCCATGGCAAAAATCTAAATGAATTAATCTATTTTTATTGTAACTATATATAAAAAAAAAATATCTAATATTATTATGAGGTTAAACAAGAAAATATTTTTATGTAATCTATAAAACTACGAATCTTATAAAATTACAAAAACTGCCCAGGTAAAACGTAAATAATATACGCCAATATCACACGGCGGTACTGACTAGTTGAGGTCTTTAGTTGTTAACAGATGACATAGTCGAAATTGGCACTAAGAATAATAATGCCCAAATACTCAAACGCTACTCAATTTTGAGGTGCCCTTAAGTCTCGTGCTGTCTCTATCACTTTAACTCAAAGTAACTGTGATCGCGAGACCACGAGACTTAACGATATCTTAATATTTAGTAGCGTTTGAGTATTTGGCCAACAGTCATCTATTTAAATAAGATATGTACCTGCGGTAAATAGAGTTCAGGCCTCTGCTGTAGATCTTGCGGGATTTGCTGTTGTTGCTGTTTCTTTTGTTGTTGCTGTAACTGTTGTTGTTGCTGTAACTGTTGTTGTTGCTGAAGTTGTTGATGTTGTTGTTGCTGAAGTTGTTGATGTTGTTGTTGCTGCTGATGCTGTAATTGTTGCTGTTGCTGTTGCTGTTGATGTTGGTGTTGTTGTTGCGCCGCGAGCTGCTGCAGTTGCTGCTGCTGAAGCTCTTGTAGTTGGTGCTGAAGATTCACATTTTAAGTTAAGTTCATGTAGGATATATAATCAGACAGTTGCTCAAAAAATGTTTATAAATAGATATTCTATCTCACGAAATATGTTTCGCTTTGTTATTTGCTCATGCAAAAGCACTTGGTTCTGAGTGCATTATCTACGGAGCATTTGTTCATAATAGAAAAGTTCCCAGTCATTAACGATTCGCTTTGATAGTTGTTTAGGCCAAATCTTAACATTTAAAACTTGCATTCAAAACGCTCATCTCGGCGCGTTCATCCGATGGTATTTAGGTCACCGCCTGGCCCCCTTTCCCGCGCGCGTCTGTCCGCTCACCCTCGGTCGCCTGACGTGTGGGCGATCAACCGGGCGGCCGTGTCCTTATGAGTCTTAAAGTTACGCTCGAATCGTTAGGTCGCGTGAATACAGCCTCTTATTGCGTTGTCTTTTTCGTGCGTTTACGTGACAACGAGGCTTTTCTTGACTTTTGAAACGCTAAAAATTTGTGACCCGAGAGGAGATCACGTTCGTCTTCGATCATAATTTTGTGCTAAGTGACGTTAGACTTGAGTTCACATATAGGTGAACGCCCACTGGAGTGATCGCACATTGTGGAGCAGAGCAGCGCATGTGGGTCTGCTGCCCGATTACATCGGTGACGTCAGGTTACATTTGCACACTTTCTCACACCACTTACACCCACCTACTTACCCCCTGACGGTACCTTGTGGTCAACCCTACCTCCGGAACTCGGTAAGTTTGTGTTTGCTTATCAGCCATTACATAATAATTTTCCATAGGCCATTTGGGCCCGAACCCTCTGGTTGCCCGTCGAGTGGGCTACTCATGGGCCCTAGTCCAGTCGACTTCTGTCGGGACAACTGAGGGCCGTAACAGTAATTAGTGTATATGGTTATAATATTCATAATCTGTAACTATTCTCTTTACATACCGACATTGATTCTAGTCATTTGTAAATGGCAATCAAATATATTAGTTTTGCCATTTGCCAGCAGGGATTGATGGTTTATCAATTTAAAAAATGAATAATAATGTTTACTTTAAGATTTGACAGTTAAATGCATGGAGGCCAACTTTGAATTAATCTATTCATAAATTCCATAATTAACCCCTCCCTGTTTGTTATTATACAATTTTGTTGAATACTTAGTATTGTCTGTCTAATACACTTTCTTTAAAAATTAAGGCAAGACCGCAAAGACTCATGTTAAATATATCGTTAACTTACATTTTCGATAGATTTTGCAAAATTAATACATTTAGCTAATGCTCTTAGATTCGGAATACTTTTATAATGTTTTTAGTAAAGAAAAATGTAGCCTTCTTTAAATAATATGATTTCTAGTAATGTGTAAATAATTAGTTGTATCTATTCAATTCAATAGTTTTATCTAGAATTTATGGTTCGTATCTACTGCAAATAAAATAGTTTGATGGTGATATCAAAAACATACTGTGGGTGTCATATATGTTTTATAATGTATAATGTAGTGTTTTTTTGTGTTAGCTTTATCAGATTTTCCATTATGAGGGGTACTTTACCTGTCTTTTATTAAGAGTGAAGGTATTGTGCCCCTCTTTACTCGTGACATATGCGTTTCGTTTTTTACATATTCGAATACGATTATAACTTAATTTATAAATTTAAACCGGAAATATTATTACTTTTGTTTTAATAAGTAAAACATAAATGTTTCATTTCATGGACGAGTCATAAAGGAATTTGATTTTGGAAATTATTATTTTTAATACCCATTTTTACAAATTTATTTACATTCTAAGCATTTACACGCATAAACATACATATCAGTAATCTTTTCTACCTAAATAAGGTTTGAGCAGACTTCGTGAAATAAAATAGCTATGCAGAAAAAGTATCTTTTAGTTACAGATGATTTCAATTTAAAAACAATATAATATACTTGTAATTTTCATTACCTACTTATTCTTACATTTTGTTTAACTACATATTACCACAGTTTAAAGACCTTTCAGTTGGGAAACGAATGTACTTGCGCAGAGCAACGGTGGTGGCACTGCGGGGCAGGGGGCGGGCCGAAATTGTGCTAGCGCACTTCACTGAATTTGATAGACAATACATGCGGTTGACGCCGGCGTGTTTTATAGTACTTATTTAACTAATTTTAAGTGCAGTTTAAAAAAATATATAATATCTATAATGGTGAATTACTGTTATAGTTATAAGAGTTACTAAGTAAAATTGAATTCAAATGACGGCCATGCTTGTTTCCCTCATATTTTTTTTTTGATAAAGTTCTTTATCCGAATGCGAATACACTACATAATTAAATTTAACAAATGAAAACTAAAACCATCTATAAAAAGAAAGTGTCAAGAAAATATTTGGCATTCAAATATTTGTATATATGTTTCTTCATGTAGTAATAAAAATGATCTTGTTCGATACGTTTTTAAATTTAAAGTATGTACATAAAGTTAATAAATGATAGTGAGTATTATAATATCAAAAATATTTTTTTCCATTTTAGTGACAACACCTAGCAAACATGCTGGACGCAGGCGGCATCGCCTGACACCAAAGGCGTTTCACAACTGTAAGGTCTAAACTGTGATATTACTAACAGTATATGATTGGATGACTTCATTAATAATTGTTACAAAATCTGTAAATGCACTGAATACATGATAAATGGCAGTTTTATATCATAATAATGCATCTTGCAACATTTTGAAATACTTGATTTTATTATGACTAAAAACAGTACCACAATACAACTTATAAGTTAAATTATTAACTGCTGAATAAAAAATCTACTGGTTTATTAAAAAACTGAGAAAAAAATGCAGCAATACTACTGCACTGTCACCCACTTCACTAATATGCTCTCCTAGTCGTTGCAGAGCTTCCAGGAGTAGGAACTTGTAACCAAACTTGACACATTTGCGAGTTGCTTTTGCACGTGGCCGTTCACAAATTGGGAAATTCTAGATACAAGCGTGATAGTTGATACAAATATCATTACGTACACACAATGCAATACATTATGTACTGCAATAGTCCAATAATTTTGTACAATACAGTAGGTATCATTTTATACAAAGCTTGATAATTTGTAAACAATTATTTCATAAAGTCCCTTTTCTGTTACTATTTTTTTTTTGTAAGGGTGTACAATGAGTAAAAATACAAAGTGGATGCTGTGGTCCAAAAATACCGACATCTATCCTTAATTAAAAATTTAAATGCAGATGCGTTATCACCCGTAATAATTATGATGGTTCACTATACTCTACTGAGAGTAGTTTTGTATTCTTATCATCAAGTTTACTATTATATTATAATAATCATCATTTCGTTGCAGTCTATTACTATCTACTGAAAAATATATGAAAAAAAAAAAGTATAACGTTAATTAAATAATGTGTGTAAAAATGTCAAACTTTGTTATTATATGAGGGCCCAGATTCTCCAAGAAATATTTTTTTAGTAATCAAAGTTGTTTGCATAATTTAAAAAAAGAATGTAATCCGTAATTCACAGATATAATTTATTTTCTATGGAACATTTGCAAAGTAACATTCATAAACTCACCTGGTTAAGGTTGGTAGCTAGTTGTTGCACTGGGAATAGTTGCTGTGGAGGAGGGTATGGTGGAGTGGTGGGTGTATGAATCGTTGTAACACCTGTGCACAAAAAATACTTGTCAAACTTCTCATATAGTTTTTTTTACATAATATGAACCAAAAAGATTAAAAACCATTGCAAATAAATATAAAAGATATGAATGTAAACTGTTGAAGCATTTAATTTAATAAGATTAGATTGTAATTTGCTATGGGGTATAGCTGCTTGGGGGCCTTTGAAAAGCTAAAGTTTTTAATAAATTTTATTTGTATCGAAACAAAAGGGTTTTAATTGCAACAATATTTGAAGAGGATAAGAAAAGGAAATGGTGGCAGAATAAATATATTAAAACGCATATTATTATTATTAGAATGATTCGATGCAAATACTCATACTTTTTTTAAATTACCATTAGTGATTATTTAAAAAAAAACTCAGTTTTGTTTTGTATAAAGTTAAAGCCATTATATTACAAGCACATCTTGTTTTTATTTGTCTGTATTTAAATTGTTATCGAATTTGACAGTTAGTTATATGAATGGTGTAAAGCACAGTTAAGCAAAAGGAAATGCATCGTATTAGTATGGTATTGCGGGCAGGCATCACGCAACTTGCCTTGAGCGCAGAATTGAAGGTCCAGAGCGTGGAGCGCCGACGTGGCGAGCGTCGGTGGACCTTAGCATAACAATCCTTGCTTAGCATCAACATTCATTTTTTCTTTTAATATTGTTCAAATATATAGCAATATATTATTAATGTAACTATAAAATGACTACTTATAAAATTAATCCTACACAAGAAACCCCATCAATGGCCTAGATATAGATGTGAAGTTATAGTTTTGAGAATAACTCAATGACATTAATGCTTTTATAAAATTATAGTGCATGAAATATAATATTTAAGTCCTATTCATAGTTCTTTAGTTATTCAGCAGAATCTGCATGGGGATAAAATTGATTTTACAGCTTAGGTTGATTTAAAATATTAGCAGTTGTTAACTTTGTGTGACAACATATATAATAAATAAACTCTCACCGGAGGCATCAGCCAATTCAAGCATGTTCCTCTCAGTCTCTGGCAGTGTATCATTTCGAGTTTGACCCGTAAGCACATCAGGTCGCTGAAAATGAAAAGAAAAATTGTATTATTGTTGTATACCCTGATACACAGAATAAGCTCAAGACTATAAAGTTATCAAAGTGTTCTAATTATACAATGTTATCTCTTAATATTTTATTTATACATACAACATTCTGAGATCATACTTTTTTTTAACAGTGCCAGTGGAAATTTGTCCAAGTGGATATGAAAGATCAGTATACCCAAATTTCTCATTTCTAAGCTATGATCACCATAAATTACAAAGCTTTATATACATGCATTTTCAAAACAAAGTGAGTTTTCTCCTTCACCCATTTTTGTGAATTTATTATGAAAATTATTTCATGTTATTTTTCTAATACATTTTTATTACAATATCTTTATACAGAATGTTAATTCAACTCTACATTATTATCAAAAATACGTCCTAAACTATAGGATTGGGTAGAAATTATATATAATATATTATATAGTTTGAGAACACATTTGTACAGAAAGTTAAATGTCAAAAATCAGGGTATATATTTTCTTTAAATTTCCACAGTCAAAACCCGTGATTTAGAGTATAAATAAAAATAATAGCCAAGAAATGTTTTGTTATACGACTTCTTTGTGCCTCTTCATTATAGCATTTTTCATTTCAGCACTTCTTAAATTAAAAAGGAGAAAAATAAATGCTTCATTCCCTTGCAAATTTTAGCAATATCATAATCTTTTATTACAAATACTATATATACTTCAAATTTAATACAAATAAATAATGCTAGAAAGGCGTTTGCAATACATATATAATAAATAAAAACAAGGTATTTACATATACTGTTGTATATAAGATATTATATAGCATGGAAATTATAAAAACCATCAATCGCCATTAAATATACACTAATCAAAAGATTCAGGATTAATAGTTAGTTACATAACTTGCAATAACTACAATGCAAATAGAGGGTTTGATATTAAGAGTGTACGACTATTATGAAGTCTACAATTGAAAGAAATGTGACTCACATTGAGCTTTTTTTCAATGCTGTTTTTATTTTTATATTTCTTGTTAACATCCTTCCACGTAAAGCCCGGCGGGAGGGATAACTTAGCCATGCTGTGGTGGCATATCTACATCGTGGGAAGCAAGCAGACAATATGAATATTTATATTGTGAATATCATGAAAAGTATAATATGCTACATACTTTTATAATAATGTTAGTCAATTCCTTGTGAAGTAGATAAAGATGAAAGCATTTGTTTTCTATGATACATAAGAGAAGAAATGGACAATATAAACAACCAGAGTAGTTATCTGACAGATGTAATCATATTTCATTCATTTTTGAATAAACATAGACAGAGGACTCACAGAAATTTTAAAGCTTGTGGATATGGATTTCATGATGGTTTATTTATACCAAGCAGGATAAATTTTCCATTATTTCATGGGTTCATTTTTATTTATGATTACATACCCTGATATGTTAAATAGCAATTATATATAAGTTGAGTCCAGGGAATACAGACTTAAATGCAAAAAATGTCACAATAAAATATGTTCTTGGTAGCAATAACAATAATAGCAAATTTTAAAAACCCTCAAGGCATAGTAATTAAGAAGCAAACTTAAGCAAATAACTGCTTATAAAGGTGAATATTAATTTTTTTTAATGTAAAATTCCTTTTTATGTATATGGCATAATGTTAAATATACCATGTATGAAATATGGGTACTCTTTCAAAGAACCAAACCATTCATTTTGTCTCAGAAATGACAATTATTTTCCTCCACCGGTGCTCTTATTTTAGACTCAATAAATTACATAAAATGTAATACTTTATGACATTATTAGTTTATTACTAAAATGCGTGTTAATAGGTTACTAATTTCTGTCATGAGACAAGGTAATGGCTATGGTGTTGATAATTAAGTTCCTTTATTCATCTATTTGGTGGTATGAAGCGAGCGAAGCTGCTAAAAACAAATGAGTCAATGTAAAGATAGTCTACTTTGCGTGTATGATTTAGGATCGCGTTTACTGACTGACAATTGACTTTCTACGATTTATTTTGTTCTGCCAGCAAAATATTATACCAAAGAAGTAGTAATAATTGCTATAGTAGAACATTTACCTTACTAAGTATTAAATTGTCATCTTCTTCAATAAATAGATATTGTTTGAATTGAGCTACTTTAATTTTAGAAACAATCAACAACAAATCAATCCACGATAGTGAAGTTGTATCGTGAAAACCATGACACACGGCTAATTTGGGATTATCAATAAATTTATTTAAAGAAACACAAAATAAAATGTTGACGCAGCATAAATTTAATAATTTTTAGTGCCAAGTTTATGAATGTAGTCCTATTCTAATCATACGCGCATATAGTAGATTAAATATTCAAGTGTCAATTCAAGAACAAACTATTGCAAATAATATGATATATTTAGTAGCTATCAACAGTTGACATCATTTAAGACTTTTCGACAATATTTTTATATACCATGATATCATATAGGAAAAAAGTTTTTGACGACGAAGTAAAAGGGAATAAATAATTTGGACTTAATTATTATTATATGTATAAATGTAACTTAGGGAACACTGACCTGGTCCTCTAGAATATCAGGCGGTGGGGGCAGATGGTGGTCGGAATGAGGCGGCGCTGCGCGTTGTTTACGGGCACACTTGTGCTTGCCCGTAGCGGACGCGGGTGCGGGCGCGGGGGCGGGCGTAGGTGCGGGTGCGGGGGCGGGTGCGGGGACGGGAACGGGCGCAGTCGCGGGCAAGGGAACGGACGCAAGTACGGCGGCGGAGAGGGGCTGGCCCGGCGCCGGGAGGGCTGCGGCCGCGGCGGCGCCCGTCGCGGGTGCGCCGGACACACACAAGCCCGTGGCGGGCGCGCCGGACACGTACAGGTCCGCCACCGACGCGACGCCCGCGACCATGCCCGCGAAGAAGTTCGCATCCACGTTGGTGCCGCAGCCCGCCGCCGCGGCGCCGTTATTCGCAGTCGCACCGTGCCCGCCGTTGTTCCCATTGCCGTTGCCGCTTTCTTTTTTCTTGATCTTCAGACCATCAGACCAACCTAAAGGTGAAGACAGAATACTGTACATTTCAAGTGATTCAAAAACCGTGCATGATTTGAGAGAATGTAGCAAATGTAATTAGTTCACTACATAAAATGAGTAATAAAAATATTAAATAAATACAATAACAGCAGGAACAACTTCTAGCACCGCATTTTTTTTAAATAATTAATGATAATACGAAAATAAGGTCATAATGTGTTGTGCTCACCTTTGAGGTAGGCCTTCGCGAAGTTGGCAGACATAGGAGCGGGCGTGGGGGCGGGTGTGGGGGTGGGTGTGGGCGCGGGTGCGGGTGCGGTGGCGGGCGCACTGGCAGCTGCGGCGGTGGGTGCGGGTGCGGGTGTGGGTGCGGGGGCGGGGGCGGGCGGGGCGGGCGGCGCGGCGAGCGCGTGTGGGTGCGGGTGGGGGTGCGCGGGCAGCAGCGCGCGCTGCGCGGGCGCGCCCGGCGCCGGCACGTGCGCTAGCCCCAGCGCCGCCGCCTGTGCGGAACTCAGCCCACCGGTATTCTCCTCTGCCGTTGCGTTGCCTAAGTCAAACGAACATTCATTTTTCATTATACAAATATTACTATGTGCTGTAAATTGTTTCGCATTTTTTATAGATCTCAGAAACTTCTGTAGATATTTTCCATCGAATACCGACCTCTAGGCAACATGACGGAGTGCGGATAGTCGAGCAGCAGTTGCACGACGGCTGTGTGGCCCCCCTTGGCGGCCTCTATGAGGGTGGTGGAGTTGTCCTTGAGCTTGCGGAAGGGGTCCGCGTCGCAGGCCAGCAAAAACTTGACCACGTCGGCATGCCCGCCCGCACACGCCAGCGACAGTGGCGTGTGGTCGCCATTCGCCGTCATGCGGTTCACGTCTGCACCCTGTTACCAAAATTTAAGATAATAGATACATGGGTTATGTATTGAAACTAGTGATGCTACAGTTAGCCGCTATTACTCAATATATTTGACATATTAATATATTTGACGTTATTCGAATTTTTTTAATTATTCGCCGAATAAGGGAAAATAATATCTATTATTCAACAACAGAAAATATATATGTTTTTCATTTTCATAAACAAAACCACAGATTTAATAGGAACTAAACTATAATTATATATATGAGGAATTATTCACGTAATCTATAACTGAAACCGCTGAGGGGAGAGTAGCACAAAGTACGAATTTACATCCATCAACTTCATGCACCTCTTACCAAGTCGTCACTAGTTAGAGCTTTCCCTATATAGTTCGCCTACTAGTACGAGGCTGCCTCTAGCACCAGACCGGTCATAGTTGATGATTTACTATGAAGCAAATGAAATGGTATGCATGCTTCATAGTTCGTCATGTGTGCAGCAAAGGATTGAAATAGCTTTTTTGTCAAGCTTGACAGGGCTTGACAGTGTAAGAATATCCACAACACCATATTGTCCTTTGGATATTGTAAGAGGTAACAGACGGAACCAACTTGGAGATGGACAGCAACATCTAATTAATAATAATAAAAAAATTGCGGTTGGTTGCCAACCTGCCTGCCAAGTGTGCCAACTATGGAAATAAGAAGTCCCCTAAGAGTCAATCTATAGAAAAGGCATATGTTCAGCAGTGGACTTTTGGCTAGTGACTAGGCTGGAATGGTGACGGTAAGTCAGTGCGCTTTGCTATTTTCTGCTGCATCACCACTTCTCATTATGTAGGGTGGGTGTAAAATGTAAAAAAAAAAGAATCTATGTATGTGTTAGAAGTGGTACGCAACAGTAGCAAAATGGCGGATTCGAACTCACGATTTCTAAATTCGCGATCCGTACCCTCAAGCATTAGACGACTGTCGCTCAATAATATGAAACAGCGAGTAGCATGTCACAAGGAGGCGAGACACGGAGGAGACACGGAGGACACACGGACCTTGCCAACGAGGAACTGCACGGTGCAGACGTGGCCGGCGCGGCAGGCCTTCATGAGCGGCGTGCGGCCGCCCTCGCTCTCGTGCTCGAGCTCGGCGCCGGCGCGCAGCAGCACGTCCGCCACGTCCGTGTGTCCGTTCTCGCAGGCGTACGTCAGCGCCGTGTCGCCCGTCTGCGTCTGCGCGTGCACGTCCGCGCCCGCGTTCAGCAGGTACCTGTGTCACGGACGAGTTGTGCTCTTTGTAACATACAGCCTGATTAACACGTACTAAAGTCCGATTTACGCCTACTAACTCATTTATACTTATTAAGATACTGTAAAGCAATGAGCATTACAGCCAAAATTGAAAATATGTAATATTGTGTAATATTTTCAAACAAACTTTACTGCATAAATTAATTATTTTTATAGTATGTATTTTTCGTCCACTTCGACTTTTTTTTTAAAAAAGTCTTCAAAACACATGTAGTCCAACCTGACGCTTCACCAAACTTATACATTTAACTAAATCGTGTATGTCCAAACACGCCCACCAACTTGACCAAAAAAGTAATATTAAATTGAATTAAATTTTAACTTAAAAAGAAGTTAAAATTTAGTTAATTACTTGAAAATTTAATTTGTGTAGTAAAAATCAGCCATTATAGCACTTTATAACTTTTATTTTGAAACTGCTACGACTATATTTTTTATTTCATCCATTAGAAGCCACTGTTATGCTAAGTCTGTGAAGACACAGCTATTTCTTATTCTTTGTTGTCAAACTTATGCCTATTATTAGATATAGGTTGTCTAAGACATGTAACTTATGACATAGTGAAAATAAAATTTACAATATTTCATTTCACACAAGAATACTAGAAGTGTTTATAGCACTATTAATATTCCTGTTAGTCACTCTAGTAGTAAAATAGCGGATTTGAACTCGTCGTGGCTTCGAATACGCTGTTCTTTAAAGTTAAGTAGACCCGCACCCTTATTCAATTAGGTCACTGTAGAATTTGAAACATCTGATTATCGCTCTGAAATTCTTGGATCTACTTTTCAGAAAAACTTTTACGGTGTTACCTCACAAGCTCCAGATGGCCTTCTTGCGAAGCCTCCATGAGTGGTGTAGAGGCGCCCAGCTCAGCGTCGGCGCCGGCTTTTATGAGGAAGTCGGCCACCTCGAGGAAGCCGCCGCAGCAGGCCAGCGTCAGCGCGGTCTCCTGCGTCTCGTCCGTCTGCGCATTGATAGACGCACCCTGCCCCAGCAGTAGCGCTACCATCTCCTCGTGACCTACAGGAATGCATTCACTCAGTTTTGTTCAGTGTAATGATGAAATATTTGAGGATTTTGGCCTAACGGATTCTAGATAAAAACAGTTTGATTTGTTCCTTCCAGTATTCTATTTTAATTTATGAGTTATCTTTATGTGAAATGTCTTTCAGCTCGATTGATATTATTTAATATTCTCGCAGTGTCTCACGTTCGACTGTATCTTATTGTCGTTTTCATGTCTCACCTAACGCAAACCAGCAGAATACCTTAGCATTGCAGACAAAATTCAATTTACTTTATTTCGGTACTCTACATAGTGCTCATGCACTCCTATTTTTATTTATTTATTTAATTATTTATTCAAATTTATATTGGGTAAACATTATATACTTATGTATATTGAGTATATAAGATATTATTGATATTGGTGTCATTTTAAAGGGAATATCATGTACTATTATAATATAAAATAATTGTCTCCAGTAAGTATTATGCTTTTCTTATAAAACTCGAAATAAAAAAAATACGTTTTTTTTTTTAATATTCCCATTTTCAGCTTTATTTTCAGCCTTTATTTTTAATTAGACTAATTTTCTTTTAACAAAATTAAATTTTGAATTTTTTGAGTATGTATTTTGAGAATATTTATTATTTGAATGTAGCCATTATATTTTTTCAGTAGTAATCGTTTTTGTTAAGACAGTCTCGCGCGGTCGTAAAAAAATAGTGACATTTAATGCGCGGACAGGTCAGGCGAGAATCACTCGCGCGGGGTGGACGGTTGAGTGGTTATGTATATGTATTTACGACTATGTGTGGTGTGTAGGTTAGTATATTCGTGGTTAATATACGCCTCGTGTTTCTACAACAAAAAATGATACCAACATCGAACTTGATTTCATTTGATACACAATTAATCAATAGTATATTTTTAAGCTTTTTACGAAATTAGTCAAGCAATTTTTTGTTATAAATATAATTAACTAATGAAGTGGCAAATAAACCGAATTTACATTAGTTAAGAGCGCACATTCTATTAAGTGAAAGTCAAAATCTACAAGATCGCTCTAGAACTCGCTCCTGTAAGACTGCATTACGCAGCAAGCAGGAGTGTTATCAGGCCTAGGCTGAGACTTCCGCGGCTCGGGATGTGAACACCAGCATGCTTAAAAAGAAGTATAACTTCGTCTCCAGGTCCTTCAAAAGAGTTAGTGCCAGGGCAAAGTTCTGACTTTGCCCTGGCACATAGGCAGAATTGCGAGAAACTAGTTCGCCTTCCTTCGGGAACCCGTGCATTCTGGTCTCTCGCCAAGACTGTCCAAGGGAATTTCTGTAAGCTATCACTACCATCTCTGTACATGGAGGACGATTCACTGGCCCACTCCGCAAAAGAGAATGCCAACCTTTTAGGCTCCTTTTTTGCGTCCAACTCGACTCTTGTTAACGGGGGGAACACACCGCCGACCATCCCGCGGTGTGAGTGCTCCGTGCCGAATGTGCGGTTCTCACAGCGCTCGGTTCGCAAAGCACTCCTCTCCCTGGACATCCACAAGTCGAGTGGGCCTGACGGAATCCCCCAATTGCGCTGACGACGTGTGCTCCGGAGTTGGCACCGGTTCTACGGCGTCTATTCCGGTACTAATACTCTCCCGGCGTAGTCCCGAAATCATGGAAGACAGCTTTTGTCCACCCGATCCCTAAAAAGGCGACCGCTACAACTACAGGCCAATCGCCACCACTTACTTGTTTTCCAAAATAATGGAATCTATAATAAACTGCCAGCTCATGCGGTACCTTAAGGATCACCAGCTGATTAGTGACCGCCAATACGGTTTTCGTCGGGGTCGATCAGCTCAGATCTTCTGATCTACCTGACTCATAGATAGGCGGAGGCAGTAGAGTCCAAGGGGGAGGCATTGGCCTTTAGTTTGGACAATGCGAAGGCCTTCGATCTGGTTTGGCACAAAGCGCTTCTTTCGAAGCTCCCTTCCTATGGGCTTCCCGAGAAATTGTGCAATTGGATCACCAGCTTCCTTGCAGATCGGAGCATCAAGATCGTTGTAGACGGTGCATGCTCCGACTACAAGCCTATTAACGCGGGCTCCCCAGTGCCAATTCCTTCCACTTGACCGCATCCAGCGCAGAGCGGTTCGAATCGTCGACGACCGAGTCCTTTCTGATCGGCCCGATTCATTGGCGCTGCGAAGAGATGTTGCATCCCCTTAGCATTTTCTTTCGCATTTACCACGGGGAGTGCTCTGATGAATTCTTTCGATTAATCCCAGCCGCCAAATTTCACGAACGCACATCGCGGCAGAACTCCTGATACCATCCACACCATCTGAATGACTGGCGCTCCACCACTGTGCGATTTAGAAGATGTTTTCTTCCTCAGACAACTTCCTTGTGGAATCGATTACCATCAGCGATTTTTCCCTTCAAGAAAAGAGCCTACTCCTTTTTAAATGGCCGGCAACGCATCTGCAATTCCTCTGGTTGTGTTGCAGTTGTTCATAGGCGACAGTAGTCACTTACCATCAGGTGAGCCGCATGCTCGTTTGCCCCCTCTCCTATAAAAATAAGAACGGCGTAACAACACTATTTTGATACTATTATTTTTTACGATTTCATTTTAAAAATAAATATAAGTAAAGGCGAAATTTCGTATCTGAAATTTGTAATTACAGATTTCTGATTGACATTGACCGACTTCTTCTTAGGCCAATCATGGCAAAATGTATTTTTATATAAGTCCAATAACCTTTTTCCTTTTGATTTTGAGGGGATAAATACTATAGCAGATCAGTCGCTCCTAGAAGAACAGGTAGCAGCTGTTACTAAGGCCATGATAGACAGCTACCATGAATCATGTCCAGAAATCACTCCACCAAGACATGCCGAGGTAAAACAACCGTGGTGGGGTAAAGAACTCGATAGAAAACGTAAGAAGGTAAGAAAAGCTCTAAATAGGGCCATGAATACCTCAATGGATGAAGACTGGCTATTATATAAGAAAGCTAAGTCTGAATACAAAAAATGTATCAGGTATCGACGCTCGATTGGGTGGCGTAAATTCTGTGGCAACATAGAAACCTGCAAACAAGCAAATAGGATTAGGAATATTCTAGCTAAACAGAACACGTCGGGATCCATGTCTCTAAAGAAACCCGACGGTAGCTACTCAACATCGCCGGATGAAGCCCAACGCATCCTAATTGAAACGCACTTCCCAGGTTGCTGCGTAACCCAGGAGGCAAACCGGCATGACGACATACTGACATCAACAGCAGAAGACTGGAATTTAGCACAGAGAGTGGTAACGATGGACAAAATCCATTGGGCCATTCACAGTTTCCTCCCCTATAAGGCGGCAGGACCCGACGGCATATTCCCGGCACTCCTACAGTGGGGGGGTAAAGCCCTAATAGTCAGACTTGCTGCCATAATGCGAGCCTGTCTTGCTCTTAAATATGTTCCTAGGGGATGGAGGGAAGTGAAAGTTACATTCATACCCAAACCAGGTAAGAGCGACTACACTGACCCTAAATCCTACAGGCCCATTAGCCTCACATCCTTTCTCCTAAAGACGATGGAGAGGATGTGTGAAAGGGAATTAAGGGGGTCGGCGCTAATGAAGTTACCACTACACGACAAGCAACACGCCTACAGTCTAGGCAAATCAACAGAATCGGCCCTTCATAAGGTAATTACAAAGATTGAAGAGGCCATCCAAAACAAAGAAATATGTCTAGGTTCCTTCATAGATATAGAAGGTGCTTTTGACCGAACGAACTTCTCCAGCATAAAAGGTGCACTCGGTAGACACAAAGTTGAACCGGCACTGATCGACTGGATAGTTTACATGCTCAGTACACGAATAATAAAGATTGCTGGTGAATCTCAACCAATCCAAATTAAGAAAGGCTGCCCGCAGGGTGGGGTTCTCTCACCTCTCCTGTGGAATATGGTCATTAATGAACTCATCAGCAAATTAAATGACAATCACTTCTATACAGTAGGTTATGCTGATGACCTGACAATACTGGTCTCTGGAAAGACAGCAAGCATAGTGTGCGACCTGACCCAAGCGGCTCTCCGTATAGTGGAGAGATGGTGCAGGGAACACGACTTAACTGTCAATCCAAATAAAACGGTTTTAGTTATGTTCACACAAAAACGAAAGCTGAATAACTATCATCCTCCAAGTCTTTTTAGCACAAAACTCCAGCTATCCTCTGAGGTAAAATATTTAGGTCTTACCTTGGACAGCAAACTTAACTGGAATAAACACATAGAAAACAAAATCAACAAAGCTAGTATAACTTTCTGGCAATGCAGAAACATGATTGGCAAAAGATGGGGATTGACGCCAAAAATCATACTGTGGCTTTACAAAACTGTAATTCGGCCCATGATCACATACGGCGCTCTGGTATGGTGGACCAAGACAAATGAAGCCACCATAATTAAAAAGCTTCAGCGCTACCAGAGACTGGCATGTATGGCTGCTACAGGCTGCATGAGAACTACGCCAACAGCAGCCTTAGAAGCGATGCTGGAGCTAACTCCGCTTCATCTACATATACAACAAGAAGCGACTTTAGCTGCCATCAGACTCAAGACCCTAAATCTTTGGAGTAAGAATAGTGTCCCTCATACAGGCATAATTGATAGAATTCACTCAAAAATTCCTATCCTACAAGCCAAATACGATAGGATTCCTAAACAATTTGTTTTCGATAAGAAATACAAGATACAGTTAAATGAAAACAGCCAGCCGGAAGGATTAAGCCCAAAAGAGCTTAGAATTTTCACCGATGGTTCTAAAACAAATGAAGGTGTAGGTTGTGGAGCTTTCTCTGAAGACCTCAATATTCACATATGCACACCGCTGGGTACCTATAACACGGTCTTTCAGGCGGAATGTATGGGTATCATTCAAGCGGCCATAGCAATAGATGCTAGGAAGGTTAATGACTTCCCCATCAGAATACTGACCGACAGTAGGGCGGTACTCCAAGCCCTGAGATGCAATGTGGTGAACTCGGGACTAATATATGAATGCCATCAACGATTAAATGAGGTATGTAAAAACAACAATGTGACCCTGCAATGGATAAAGGGACACAGTGGATCCAGAGGCAACGATGCAGCAGACGAACTTGCCAGAAGAGGATCGGCTTTGGCCACTATAGGGCCGGAACCAATCATACCAATCCCCTTTGGTAACGTTTGTTCACTGGTACGTAGACACTTTACTAATCAACACGCTCAGCTTTGGAAAAATCTAGTAGACTGTAGACAAGCTAGGGATGCCCTGCCTGAAATTAACAGTCGCTTAACAAAAGTTTTAATGAGACTGAACAAGCCGCAGATTAGGATAGTAACAAGTGCTATCACAGGACACGGCACCTTTAACAAACATTTATTTACTATAGGTGTTACAGATAGTCCCCTGTGCAGGGCATGTATGGGGGAGGAAGAAACGGCGGCCCACGTGCTACTGAAATGTCCGGAGGTCGCTACATACAGGGCTAAACATCTCGGCACGCCGGGATCACTCCCCGAAGTTGCATGCAACATCAAGGGCCTGTTGAGCTTCTTCGGAGAGATCTCATGGCTCGAATAATCACATTATTCCTGCCCACACGCAAAATACGCGCATAGACGTGGAGTTGCGGAAAACAGCCCGTCGTAAACTAAACTAAACTAAACTAACCTTTTTCCTATTTTTGGCGTCGTAAACACGTATCCCGCTACGACTATACGGAACCCGTTCGAGAGGAGGAAGGGAGTTCCGTAATCTAACCTAGTGATAGGACACTAAGAAATGGCTTAAAATTCTTCTGCTGGCGTTTCATCGGCTATAGGGCGGCACAATATTTTCGCTCGCTTAGTCACGTGTTGTGGTCACCAATAACCGAGTGTACAGTTTTGGTGATTTTTAGTATTATTTTTTAATATTAGTACTAATTACTAGTAGTAGTAGTAATAATTTGTTGCACTTCGAGACTATATCCTCTGATATGTTAATGCTTAAAATAAAGTATTTGAACACATTATAACGGATAGTCGACAAGAAAGATAACGCATATTTTCGTAAAACGCTATGTAGAATCTTAACTAAATTATAATTAACGTATTTTTTTGCAAATAATTTGCTCTACTATATAGTCCTTAAAAAATCGTAATACATGAAGTTTTCGAAGCGAATCGATTGCATGCTCTTAATGTGGGCTGTAAGTTTCGTTATCATTTCAAATTTCATTAAAAAAAAAAAAACTCGTGCAGGTTTGAAACTATTAGTTATTTGTTTTCCTATTTCATATTTTTGTATTTTTTTGTCACTTATGTCACTATACTGGGAAGTTTATAGTGAGGATCTCTTAGGTTGTCTTTTTTTATAGAACAGTGATAAAAGAGATGGTAAGTGTATGCTGTGGTCCATAGATATCTACATCTATCCGCGATTAAGAATCAAAATGCGGATTCGATTTCACCCTTGAAAACTAAGTTGGAATGTTAAATTTCCAGTTAAAAGAGCCGCTAATTCTATACACTTAACATAAACATGCAGCATTTAACTGTATGGTATTCTGTGATAGCGTGGTCCTTCCCCGGTTGAGCGGACCCATTCGCCATATAATACTATACTATAGCTGCAGCATGACTACACCATATAATTTAGACTATTTTATAATCCTGTTGTTTAACAGAATACGTTGTGCGTGTAAGGGAAGGAATAGGATATGCGCACCTTCCCGGGCGGCCTCCATGAGCGGCGTGTAGCCCTCGTCGTTGACCTCCTCGATGTTGGCGCCGCGCTCCAGCAGCAGCATGGCCAGCTCCACGTGGCCGCCGCACGCCGCCAGCGTCAGCGGCGACTCGAAGCTGTCCGTCGGCATGTTCACCTGCCGGCACGCCTACTACTCACTACAACTCCTCTACACGTGCCAACTGCCTTCACGCTTATAATGCGAACATTTAACATGTTTACAAAAAAAACTTTATCAAAAATCCCGCCTATGTAGTATATTACACAAACGAGAACTCGAACGATAAAATTCTTTTCAAGCAGTAAAATAATATTTTTCTATTTTACTCCTTGGAAAAAACTTCAATCTTGATTAATATCAAGTATTTTAAAAATATTTTATGTATTGCTCATATTTCTTACAGAGCTTAAATATTTTTTTCTTGTTGTATTCATTTTCGCGCATCATAATCGTCTAAAATACGATATTTTGCCCAACCAGGCCTTAATATAAACCACATTTTTTAAAAAATAAGTAAAAAGGTACCTGCGCGCCGGAGTCAAGCAGCAGGCGCGCGACCTCGACGTGTCCGTCCATGCTGGCCTCCATGAGCGCCGTGTGCATCTCGTCCGTCTTGTGCTCGCGGTCGGCGCCCGCCGCCAGCAGGAAGCGCACCATGTCCAGGTGGCCCTTGTAGCAGGCCAGCGTCAGCGCAGACTCCTTGAACTCGTTCGAGTGCGTGTTGATGCCGGCGCCGTGCTCCAGCAGGATCTTTGCCACGCCCACGTGCCCCGCGGACGCCGCCTGGTACGATCCACAACTACGTTTAACCACAATTTGCCTTGCACATTTACGTTTAAGAAAATCGTTAAATAGGAGTTGCACAATGAGAGCATCCACTATTTTTTCTACCACAAAGGCTGCGCTACTTAGGAATGAGGTGAAATATTTGACAGATTTCATGGAAAAGAAGTTAAATTGTAAGAAAAATATAAAGGTTAATGTTTCTTTACAAAATGTTAGTAGTGTTTTATATTAATTAGATTAAAAATTTGCACATATACCTAAAAGTATAAGAAATTTAAAAAAAAAGAGTTAAAAATGTGCAAAACAAGTAAGAGCAATCATTGCAACATTGTTTTGTGTACATAAGTATATATGCTAGAAACCGAAAAACTTATTTTAAACGCAATTTTTTTTCTTATAGGTCTCAACTAGCGACATCTGGTGAGCTGACAATTATTAACCGTCATTGAACAGTGCGGTAAGGCGTGTGTGCGTGTGCGTGTGCGTGCATCACCTCCATGAGCGGCGTGTGTCCGTTCTCGTTGTGGTCCTCGACGTTGGCGCCGTTGTCGAGCAGCGCGCGCACGCAGTCCTCGTGGCCGCCGGCGCAGGCGTACATGAGCGGCGTGTTGCCCGACCCCGACACGGCGTTCACGTCCGCGCCGTGCGCGATCAGCAGCCGCACGATGTCCACGTGCCCCGCGCTCGCCGCCTCCATCAGGGGCGTGCAGTCGCCCTGGGGTACAATACACACCATTCCAATCACTTTTATATAAAAATATGCCCTATTACTTACTATACAAGTCCACTTCTGAACATAGGCCTCCCTCCATAGACTGCCCCATTGCCCCTGAATTCTGCCACTTGCCACGCTTGGCAACCGCAGTCTTTCACAACTTCATGCTATTATCAGGAAGATGCTGCTGCCCATCTCCTGTTTCAGTTTCCCTCTGTCGCCTCTTACGACACTGGATATAGGGTAATAGATATTCTTACACCACCACTAACCAGTTACATGCCCTAAATATACCCTATTATACGTCGGCATTTATAAACTATTAAAAAGCAAGAACATACCTGCGCACGATAAAAATCAAAGACTTTAAAGTACATTGAGTGAAATACTTCTATTTTAATAATAATAAACCCGTCTAGGTAGATGTACCACACTCTTAGTTATTTCCAGCAACACTTGCTCTACTGTGTTCTAGACTGAAGGATATTAAGTCCGTATAATATCACTGTGAGGCATTCCATCTTAGTATGTACTTAAAGGTGACAACACATCTGTAGCTTTCTTTGTTTGCAGTAGCAACATACTATCATCAGGTATACTGTAAGATCGCTTGTCACTTCAGTAATAAAATATATTAAATTTATTTGTGAACCATCCACATCATATTGCAGAACGTCGCGTCGTGACTGTGAGAAAAATAAGATTAAACCAAATTCTATGCTTATTCTGCGCGTATAATACATATAAGTTCAAAATACTTGTAGTTGCATGCATTATCATCATTTCACACCTCCTCCATTGTTAAGCAGAAATATTTTGAACAACATAACAATATTAAAAAAGAATGTCTATGTAGTACTTGCGATAGCTTTTTCTTGACAAGCGAATTCTCAGACGACCTATAGTGGTTCGAATTTAAGAATGCAGTTACACATTTAAATACTTAAATATTTTCCCTTAAAAATTTGACATTCAAGGAATAATAATAATATCTTTTTTAATAAAAGTATTCAGTTCTCAAAATTTACATAAAACTAATATGAGTACTTAAATTTGTCGATCATTAACTACATTTGTTTTATTATAAAGTTTGCACCTGAGTCTTACAAATAAGTTCTTTTTTTCCTTTTTTTTTATTATAGATGAGGGGGCAAACGAGCATGTGGCTCACCTGATGGTAAGTGACTACCGCCACCCATGAACAACCGCAACACCAGGGGAATTGCAGATGCGTTGCCGGCCTTTTAGAAAGGTGTAAGCTCTTTTCTTGAAGGTTCCTAAGTCGCATCGGTCCGGAAAATTCGCTAGTAGTAATTGATGCCACAAGGAAGTTGTGCGAGGGAGAAAACTTCTTCTAAATCGCACAGTGGTGGACCGCCAATCATCCAGATGGTATGGCTGGTAACGCGAGTTTTGTCGCGATGTGCGATGGTGAAATTGAGCGGCTGGAATTAGTCCGAACAATTCCTCAGAGCACTCCCCGTGATAGATGCGATAAAATACGCAAAGAGATACAACATCTCTACGCAGAGCCAGTGTATCGAGCCGATCAGAAAGAACTCGGTCGTCGACGATTCGAACCGCTCTGCGCTGGATGCGGTCAAGTGGAAGGAGCTGGCACTGGGGTGCCCAGGCCCAGAGATGAGAACAGTATTCCATGTCGGGCCGAACTTGCGCTTTGTAAAGTTGCAAGCGATGTGCCGGCATGAAATACTGTCTCGCTCTGCTGAGCACGCCAAGCTTTTTAGAGGCCAATTTGGCCTTCCCCTCCAAGTGACCACGAAACTGCACACTATTCGATATGTCGACGCCAAGGATTCCGATACTAGCTGAGGCAGCAAGGGGAGTGCCTTGAAACTGAGTGAAATTTAGTCGGCCCCAATCAGAGACTTTGTTAAGCAAAGACTCGACTTCAGACACAAGTTTGTCCCGGTACTCAGCGACGTTTTCCCGAGAAATATTGGCACGGCCGGTATATAAGGCATTACTAGTGCTGTCGTCTGCATAGCAATGAATGCTACTAGTTAGTAACATATCATTGATATGCAGGAGAAACAGCGTTGGTGATAGCACGCAGCCTTGTAGAACACCAGCGTTGATAGGCTTGAAGTCAGAGCATGCACCTACTACGACCTTGATGCTCCGATCAGCAAGGAAACTGGTGATCCAATTGCACAATTTCTCGGGAAGCCCATAGGAAGGAAGCTTCGAAAGAAGCGCTTTGTGCCAGACCCGATCGAAGGCCTTCGCTATGTCCAAACTAACAGCCAATGCCTCCCCCTTGGACTCTACTGCCTCCGCCCATCTATGAGTCAGATAGACTAGAAGATCACCAGCTGATCGACCTCGACGAAAACCGTACTGGCGGTCACTAATCAGCTGGTGATCCTCAAGGTACCTCATGAGCTGGCAGTTTATAATGGATTCCATTATTTTGGAGAACAAGGAGGTGATGGCAATAGGCCTGTAGTTGGACGGGTCTGAGCGGTCGCCTTTTTTAGGGATCGGGTGGACCAAAACTGTCTTCCATGAATTCGGGACTACGCCTTGGGAGTAGGAGTATCGGAAAAGACGCGTTAAAACCGGTGCCAACTCCGGAGCACACGTCTTCAGCACAATGGGAGGGACTCCATCGGGCCCACTCGACTTGCTGACGTCCAGGGAGAAGAGTGCTTTGCGAACCGAGCGCTGTGTAAACCGATCATCCGGCATGGAGCACTCACATCGCGGGATGGTCGGCGGTGTGTTCCCCCCGTCATCTAGAGTCGAGTTGGACGCAAAAAGAGAGCTCAACAGATCGGCTTTCTCCTTTGCGGCATGGGCCAGTGAGTCGTCCTCCCTGTGCAGAGATGGAAGAGATGGCTGACAGAAGTTCCCTTGGACAGCCTTGGCGAGAGACCAGAATGCACGGGTTCCCGAAGGAAGGCGAACTAGCTTCTCGCCAATTCTGCCGATGTGCTCAGACCTTGCCTTGGCAATGACGCTTTTGAAGGACCTGGAGGCGAAATTATACTTCTTTTTAAGTGCGCTGGTGTTTACATCCCGAGACGTTGATGCGTCAGCCCAGGCCCGGTAGCACTCCTGCTTATAGCGTGATGCTATTTTACAGGAGCGACCAAACCATGGCTGGGATCTGACTGCGATGGGCACCACAGAGGATGGAATAAAAAGTTCCATACGCTGAAGCACCACATCAGCAACAGAATCGGCAACAACGCTGGGATCTTCCGGCGAGAAGCAAACCCCCAAGGGTACGATGCAAAAAAAGACCGCATCCCGTCCCAATCAGCTGACCTATAGTACCAAACACGGCGGCAAGCTGCAGATCGCAACTGCGATTGGAGCGCGAGTGGCACCGTACTCCGGATCAGACAATGGTCAGAAGAGCCCAGAGGGGCATCGACGGAGACCTGATATCCGTCCGAATGAGAGGTCAGCAGAAGGTCCAACAGGGAAGGTACATGGTCTTCCACATCTGGGATCCGCGTAGGCGAAGTAACCAGTTGTGTTAGACCATATGCCAAAGCAAAGTCATAGACAGATCTACCCACATGATCGGTTAAACGGGAAGCGAGCCATTCAGCGTGGTGAGCGTTAAAATCACCGAGTATCACGATCTCTGCGGATGGGATCTGTTGTAGCACGGAGTCTGCAGCCATTTGGACGTGGTCGATGAGTCGGTCTGTGTCGGCATTACCGCTATGGGACCTATAGAGGCACCCGTAGAAGCGGGGATGGTCGTCGCTGTCTACGCGCAGCCATAGGATGGACAGGTCCATACCTTCAAGACTGCCGAGGCGTCGAAAACAGATGTCCTCTCTGACGTATACGCAAACTCCAGCCCGGAGCACAAAGGAGTGTTCCAATTTGTACCCTGGGTAGGAGAGATATGAAGTATCAGCCGGAGAGGACACCTGAGTCTCGGTTAAAAAGAGCAAGGCCGGCTTCGCCGTCTCTAGATGGTAATGGACAGCATTAAGATTGGAATGAAGTCCCCTGATGTTGAAAAATGAAAAATTCACGGATAGCGTGACAGGGGTCGCCTCGGTTGTCAATGCTCCGCTTGCCCCGAGCAGCAGTAGTCGCGAGCGGAATTTTGCCCCCCCCCCCCAATACGCGGGGCAGCCGGAGCACCCACGCTCAGGAGTGAAGTAGTTTGGGCGTGGATGCTCAGCGAGGGATTCTCCTGGGGTGCTGGTACCCTCCTGGGGTAGTCTTTTATTTAATTCCACTACCATGTTGATGGGGGGGGGGGGGGGGGGGATTGGGCCTCCGGCCACTTGCACTCACCAAGCGCAACGCAGAGGTAAACCTCTACTTCACGCTGGTATTCTGTGAGGTCGTGGTACCACCCCGGTTCGAGCTGGCCCATCCGTGCGACAGCAAAAGCTACCGCTTAGCTCTACCACTGTTCCTTTGAAATACATAATATAAAAATAACCACTAATTTAATTATCGGTTTGGATAATAAGTTACTATTAATATCTACTATTCCGTACCTTAATGCCGCGATCCTCCACGCTCGCGTGCATGGCCAGAAGCACTTGCGCGAGTTCGTAGTATCCGGCTGAGCAGGCCAGTGACAATAGCGACTCGCCCTCTTCTGTGGTCTCGTGAACGGAACGGCCTTCAGTTAACAGCTTGCGCACAGTGCCCACGTCGCCGTCAGAGCAAGCCTCTGCCAGCGACGGCGCACCGTCAGCTCCGACGCCTGACACGACTACACCACCATTCAGGCTCATCCCGCATTGCGTGCTGAGGAACAAAAGTCACAAATTAACCTACAATACTGTATAGCTTCGTGAATTGAATTAACAGTGAAAATCAGATAAGATCAAAGCTTCAATAATCACATTTCGAATACCGAGCCTCGATCGGACCGACTCGGGAGTCAACGACTCTACCGCGATCGTTCCAAGAGACTTTCGGCGTCGAATCAATCTCGGATTGTCATCATGGGAATGCAGACTGGCCAACGTAGATCGATTATTGTACTTATCAAGAAAGCTTTAGGCCCTAAAGTTTAGGGTATTGAATTACATACTAACATGGGTTTTTCCAACTCATTGTGTAGTATTAACGTGATTTCTTTTGTATGATTTATTTGTCTGCAAATACCGAAATTTTTATCGTGTTGATTAAAACTAAATAGTATTTAGACGGCCAAACACTTTTTTTGCTATTTAGTTTTTTCATGTATATTCATTTATTGGTATTTATAAGCAATGGCCGTTTCGTGGGACATTAAAGAACTTGTTCCAGAACAAAATAACTTTCATATTCTGTTTAAAAATAGGTCAATCAAATGTGATTGTGTGAAATGTGCATTTAATTATGAGTAGATAAAAAAATCCACATTTCGTATTTAAATTGATCAACAATAGGTACGCAATATCTATATATATTTGACAATACTTTGTCAATTTTTGATTACGTCATAATCTGTCAGCGGACGCGGTATTTTTCTGGAAGTTCTTAGTTGACATACAATACGGGAAGGATTCGGTTATTTAACTTTAAGTACGTATAAAATAAAATATTCACTTTTAGGTATTCTCACTTATTTATTCATTCCTTTATTTAGCGGGAGTATATACAAAGTCATAACTGTTTAACATTGTCCTAAAACCATTTTTATGTTATTTATAGTTTTTAGAATTCGTTATTATTTTTAAATTCATATTTCACTCATGAATATATTAGTAGACATGGTAGTAGATTAGAAAAATTAAATTGACAAATATAATATTAATTTATTATGTCAAAGAAATAAATATATTTAAATTTAAAACGGTTTATGTATTAATGAAATTCCAACTAATCAAGCTGCACTAGGCTTAACAAAGACTAGTTTTAACCTTCGAAGATAATTAGTTGATCTCAATATGTTCACCTTTGACCTTTTACGATTCATTATAAAGTGCACTACAGTAAAGTATATTTTTCTAAGTTCATATATTTATATTTATAATATTCTGTCATGGATCACTAGCACAAGTGTAATGGAAAATCGATTAATTATCGCATAACTTAAAAATGTACGTTTCATAAGTTAATTTCATTGCAACTATGAACTTCATAGCATAGATTAAATTAAACTATTGGTAAATCCAATTGAGCATGCCCTTATATTTAATTCTTTTAAAGTAGTTTAAACACACATAAGTTTTCATCATCATTCCTGTCACTCCATAAAGTCCAAGACGTATTTGAGTATAAATATTACATCCTACTTACTTTTAGTATGCATTACTATTATTTATTCTGGGCTTTTAAAATATTGTAAGAAAAATCTCTGATTATTATAGTAATCAAGTATATGTATGAAATTTGTTTTTCGAATATTTTGTATTTATTTGTACAGCTATCTTTTTGAGCCGCTGCAAACAACCGATACAGTATCCACTCACAACGGCGGTTGATGCCGAACTAACCGAGTGAGGCAGTCTCTATTTACTAAAATGAATTCACACAAGGCTGCTAAATCACCGAAAATTTCGACATTGAGCAGCCGAAAAAAATTAATTATAACTAAACAAAACAAAATTAAACAGCCATTTACATTCAATGGCTTCCCACATGATATATGAAGAGATTAAAAAATAGATTACAGTTGAACAATTCATATTTTCAAAAGTTATGGTGTATACGAAGCCATACGGAATTGATAAATCCCCACCATAAGCCACTAAAACCCCTTTTTTATGTAAAAATAGCAATTAATTGATTTAAAAAATATATTAATAAGTTCAACAATGTGTGTGTACATATATGTACATATATATATATATATATATATATATAATATGATTGCTAGATACGATTTCATGCGACAAAACGTTGGGATCTTGATTTTTAGGCGCTAGTAGAACATACCTACGCGCTTTACGCTTACGGCATGCAAAAACTTTATCAAATAATATTTCTGTACAATGTAAATATACATACATAACATACATATACATACATAAACACTCACGCCTGTCACCCAGAGGGGTAGGCAGAGACTACGGACTTCCATTTGGCGCGATCCTGACACACCTCTCTCGCCTCTTTCACATCCATATATCTACGCATACACGCTCGTCGGTTAAGGGTACTCCTAATCTGGCCCATTTTCAATGTATCGCCGATCTGGTCGATAAACCTTCGTCTAGGGCGTCCCTTCCCGACCCTGCCGTTCACTTCTGCAACATAAATTTGCTTTGTCACTCTTTCCTCGTTCATTCTTTCTACGTGACCAAACCACCGAAGCATTCCTTTCTTAATCCTTGTCACAACGTCATCTTGCAAACCACACTTTTCTCTTATTACACTATTTCTCACCCTGTCATTCAGATTCAGCCCTAGCATACTCCTTAAGGAACGCATTTCTACAGCATTTATTCTACTCTCATGCTTCTTCTGCCAGACCCAACTTTCACTACCATACATTAAAGTGGGTACTAACACAGCATTATGAATTGCCATACGTGCCTTAGTTGACACATTCTGACTCCTCACAATAGCGTGTAGAGCCCCATTCAGTCTATTTCCTGCGTTCACTCGTCGTTCTATATCCTTATCATATCTACCATCCCTGCTAAATAAACATCCCAAATATACAAACTCATCCACTTGCTCAATCAACTCCCCTTCTATTCTTATTTTACATAAAGTTTTACTTTCTTCTCTTTCAAAAACCATCACTTTCGTCTTACTTGCGTTCACTTTCATACCCCTTTCTTTCAATGAACAATTCATTAAATTACCATCATTTGCAACTCGGCCGCCGACGATGCAAATATGACTTGATCATCGGCGTACAAAAGGCATTTGACGGTTGACTCACCCATTCTCAACCCACATTCTTCAACTTTCAAAGTTTGCAAACAACTGTCCATAAATAGGTTAAACAGCCACGGGGAAGCCACACATCCCTGTCTGACACCTTTATGAATGCCAAACCAGTCCGAGTAGACCCCGTTGATCCTGACAAAAGCACTAGAGTCCCTATAAAGAGACCTTAATGCCTGTATCAAGCCAGCGCTCAACCCAAATGAGTTCAGTGTTTGCCATAACACGTTCCTGTCCACTCTGTCATAAGCCTTTTCCAAGTCCAAGAACGCACAAAAAACTTTCTGGTTTTTAGCCAAAAACTTCTCCGCTATCATGCGCATGGAAAAGACTTGATCCGTACACCCCATCCCCTTTCTAAATCCAGCTTGCACATCCCAAATTTTTCCATCAGTTTCTTCCATAACTCTTTCAATTAACACCTTAGCATACAGTTTACCCACAATGCTAAGCAAGCTGATACCACGGTAGTTTTTACAGTCCCGCTGCGACCCCTTTCCCTTATATATTGGGACTATAACGGCTTTGCACCAGTCTTCCGGTACCCGTTTCAGTTCCCAACATAAATTAAACAAGGTGTGCAGCAGGCCTGCAACCACACCCTCACCAGCCCTTAGCATTTCGAGTGATACTCTATCATATCCGGCTGCCTTACCTGCTTTCATGCTTTTCATTGCTTTCATTATTTCATCTACACTTATCTCCCTACCTCTCTCCACTTCTTCCGGAATTTCTATTTCACTTATTTCAGACGACTCTTCACTCTTAAACTCGCTTTCAAAGTATTCCTTCCATCTCTTTAAATTCGAAACTTCATCATTCAGCATGCAGCCATTCTCGTCTCGTATAGCATTAATTCTAGGCTGTTTTGAAATTCCCCTGGCAGTTCTTACGAGCTTCCAGAACATTTTAATATTTTCCTGGAAGTTATCAGATATCCTTCTATCATTTTTATCTATCCTTTCTTGCTTTTTCCTTTCAACAACTTCTTTTACTCTCTTATTTATACGTCTAAAGTTTGCCTTTTTTCTTTCAATCTCATCATTCATACCGCCAGAATTACCAGCTTTAGTTGCTAGTAAATCTAGCCATGCTCTCTTCTTTGCTTCAACTTCCATCCGTACCTCATCATCCCACCACAACGTATTACTTTTCCTTTCATTCGTTCTCTTACTTACACCGCATACTTCGGTGGCTGCATCCACCAGAACTCTCTTAATATTATTCCATACATTCTTCAATTCTAAATCATTCATACATAATTCATTCAACCCACTTATATTTTCCCTCAGTCTGCATTTATACTTCTCTTTCACACCTTCATCTTGTAACCTCTCTATTCTTATACGCTGTAACGCAGTGGTAGACACCGATGTCCGATGCCGCCAACGTCTGAATAGACCATTAATTCGGCATAAGACCAAGTAATGATCCGTCCCTACGTTGGACCCCCGGTAAACCCTTGTATCTACCACTGCGCTCCTCATTCTTTCATCCACAATTATAAAATCTATCATGCTTCTATCATCCCCTCTTTCCCATGTATACATGTGAATCCTCTTATGGCGAAAGAAAGTGTTCGCCACAAAAAGATTCTTTTCCACACATACGGTGAGGAGGTCTTCACCGTTCTCATTTATTCTTTCATCGCCAAACGTTCCTAATATCCTTTCATAACCAGACCTCTTCACCCCCACCCTTCCATTAAAATCTCCTAACATAATAATATTTTCATTTTCCTTACATTTCATCAACACCAGCCTTACCATGTCCCAAAACTGCTCTCGGATATAAGTGGGCTTAGACATATCTGGGGCGTACACCCCTAGCACAAACAACTTCTTTAAGCCCACTTTCATTCGTATCCATAGCAGCCTTGGGCTAACACATTCATACTCTTTCACACATTGACCCATTCTTTCTGAAAGGATGACACCGACTCCCTGGCATGCCCGCTCGGTCTCGTCTACTCCAGACCAGTAAGCGGTATACATGCCATGTGCAGTGACATCTCTTCCCTTTCGTTTCGTCTCGTTTACACATAACACATCTATTCCTCTATCATTCATCATTTCGCATACTTCATCCATCTTATCATTCATTGCTCCACATACATTCAGCGTAGCCAGACGGGCCTCCGCAATCCACTTTTCGCCCCTCCGGGAGACAGGACGTGACGGGTGGCGAACCTCGTCGCCGGTTTTTCTCCCGGAGATTCTTCGCACCCCTGCCCCATTAAAGGGGCGCCGGGAACTCGGGGCCATTTCTTTTTCTACTAGGCTCATGGTGCGAACTAAGGGGGTGGTAGATTTTACGCCGCTACCATACGGCGAGGAGCCGAGTCTGTCGTTTCGGCTTTGTCGCTCGTTTAGCACCACCCGGGGGACACGTGTAGGGTGGGCCTAGGATTAGGTGGTCGAAGCCTACGGACGCGAGCGACTCATCCCCATAAATATACATATTGTTACAGACCTCCTGTTTTTAGCAGCAAAAGCAGGTCAAACTCGGCAAATCTTTGGCTTTCTGTGATATTATAATTAGCCAAAATAAGTCACAGGATTATTATTATTACTACTTAACATTGGATCAAAATTCATAATTATAGCTATTAGTAGATTTAGAGCTTAGGGCGAAACGACTAACACGATGTAAATAGATGCAAATATACATAACATTAATTGAGGATCGTTCACTAAGTCAATTTAATTTGAATTCGAATAATTATTTTTTATAAACTGGAAACTGGAGCTTTGTAACAGTGCTATGTTTGTCTCTGGTGGAGCGAATAATATGCAGTATCGCAATCGTTATAGATAATCACCAAGGGACTCGCGAGCACAGATTATTTATGATAAGCTATATGTATAAGGTGGTCATATCGACGTAGAATAGTCCCACAAGAGCAGCTCATTTGAAGTGTGGACATTTTATTTAATATAAGACATTTTATTGAAAAATCTAACCGTCATTGAGTTTGTAACTTCTGCTGAAAGCGCATCTGCACATCAAAGCCACTTTCCAAGTGGCCAATTAATGACTGTTTAATGTAAGCTTTTCAACATTTAAAAAATATTTTAAAACAAAGTATAAACAACAAACTTTTACTTTTTAATTATCTAATAATTACTAGCCAAAAAACAATCCGAATTTAAAACCAAAATCAGGATATAAGGTAACTCTACATGCGGCAAGTTACGCAGCAGCAAACACGCGCATGCTGTATAATCTAAATTATGTGAATGTTTATTTGCTCAAAGGCATGCACAACGCACCCAGGACCAGATAACTGAGTCTAAATTACAACGTTGTGAGGTTGTGAACAAAAAATCGATAGTAGATATAAAAACACAGTCCTTAGTATGCAATAATAATAATAATGTCCTTCAGACCAAATTTCAGCGGCCGTCTCAACGGAAACAAACCATCTGCGCAGGACAGGGTTTATAGTGCACGAGTGTGTGCGCAAACACAGGTGCACTCTATTCCCTCACACTCATAGTCCGACGGCTTATTATGTTTCATAGTTTTAAACTGGAATATTCCTTAGTAACAAAATTAATTTTACATGTCAAAAAATGTTACGTATCTTAAGTCTTATTTATTACGTCTGGAGCTGATTCATTAAATGTAAGTACATAGTGACAAAAGCAAATAAATCGCAATTTCCTCACAGACAAAGTTATAGACGCTTTGTTTGAATCGGCCTTTCATCCTACAAGGTTTGCGTGACGTTTACGGTTGTCATCTCTTTTGGAACGTAAGAGGATCGACCAGACTCATTCTTAGTTAGAAAATAAGCTCGCCAGCAGGCCTATTCGATAACTGCGTTAACATCAAAATGATAGTAACTTTGTAGTACCTTGCGTCGCAAGTTTTATCAACAGTTTTAAGATCTGTATAGCATACGACGTAATGTACTTAACAGTGACTACCATTTGATGCCACAGAAATTAGAAAATAGGCCTGCAGTTACAGTTTAGTTATTGAATTTGAAACGACTAGAAAGAAATGCATTCACTTTTAATGCAAAACCTTGGTAATAGTAAGGTTTTTATATCTTGATCGCTTCGCAGAAAAATGCGTTTAAGTCAGGTATTAGGCAAAGTAAGTCCTCTTGTTATAGTAAGAGCGAAATCTTCAAGACCAATTTGCATGAATAGTCAATCTTTTTCATGGCTATCTTTTGTTTTCCTCTTAATCCGCATTGAGAAAAACTTGAACGTGACTGAACTTTGAAACATATACTTAGCATATTATTTAAAAAATCAATTTAGTTTACTATTACTGTAATCTGAACGAGATATGGTTTAGTAGTTAATTGTATATGATATTAGGATACTTTAAAAAAAAAGTGTCTTTTTTTTTTTATAGGATTGGGTGACAAACGAGCACACAGTCCACCTGATGGTAAGTGGTTACTGTGACCCATAGACATCTACATCTATCCTCAATAAAGACTCAAGATGCAGATGCGTTGTCACCCGTGAGGACTAAGATGGAATGCCTCTTTGCCAGTAAAAAGGGTCTCCGGTTCTCTACACTCACCATACGAAACACAGCAGCGTTAAGCTGCTATTTTACGCTGGTCTTCTGTGAGAGCGTGGTCCTTCCCCGGTCGAGCCGACCCATTCGTGCTACAACCATAATATGGCTGCAGCATGGCTCTACCACGTAGCTAAAGTAGCTAGTAGTCTCTCTAAATCCCTGTCATAAGTATAACTTTGTTTTTAATGAGATACGGAAAAACGCACGTGTAAAAACTTTGTTTCGCGGACAAAATAATTGCACAATATAATTTAGCCTATCCCCAGTTTACCGTAATCTCCAAGTCTACTATGAGAATGAGTGATCGCAGGATGAAACTTCTAACATCTTTGACGCTGCATTTTCGAAATAGGTATTCTACCACTTGTCAGATCTCTAGACTTTGTGGAATATTCTATATACTTCAACTACATCATATATCTTGCATTTAAGGTTTGAAATTTGTTTCTCCTCACGTCTCGCACAAGCTGCCTGACGTCTCCGTCGGCTGACACTGCATTTTTCAATTATAGTATTTGGAAAAAAGAAAGCAAGGGTACTCACGGTTTGTCCTGGTGGTGGTGTCGATGGTGGGTGGGCGGCTGGTCACTGCGCATGCGCGTGAGTGCCGCGGCCGCCTCGTCCAGCGCGCACGACACTGATGACGTAAGCCGCCTTAGGACTTCTGGGTCTGCAAGGTGTTTGCCCTCGCCTGACAGCTTGCCGATGCCTGTTTGCACAATAACACACTTAGTTCACTGATTCTTAAAAATATTACTAAGGTAATAGGTAATTTGACTGCTTCATTGGTTTATGAGAATTAATTACAAGGTCCCGGGTGCAAATACCGGGTCGAGAAAAAATTAGTTATTGAGTTGATCAGAAGAAGTCAATAACTGTAGCAGTAAAACAGTAGCAGACCGGAGTTAGGAAGTTGGCAGTGTTTTACCAACGTGCGTCAGTAAGCATGTAAAGCCGTTGGTCATGCGCCTGATCCCTCCGGTTTAATCTATGTTTATCTAATTTGCATTTTTAGCGAATCTATATATGATAATACTAAAGTCATTAGTTCCCAGCTAAATGTTTGCTTGTTTTGTATTACTATAAAAAAGGTTCCACTGACGGACACGATCTATTAAAACATTACTAAGATGTAAAAAAAAATAGTAAAATGGCATTTATTTTTATCATTATAGGCATATTCAATCCGTTGGAAAATATTTGGTTATTTCAATTACATCGGGAGAATATTCATTATTGGTTTATCTTTCGAAAATCAGAAGTTTCGATAGCTTTAATGTTTGTATTATGAAAGTTAGACTATCATTTTTATAGAATATATTGTCGTTATATGGTCGCTAATATTGATTTATGATACAGGCGCAAATTAATAAGAAACAATAACTATAAACATTACAAACAAAAGCAAACAGACATCGTGGATTACATTCGAAGGCTTTATTAAAACACACCTGTGTACGACACAACCAAATTGCATTCCACCTGCATTGTATGATACGGGGATGTTGCGAATATTCGAATCCGCATCCGAAAATGCGGAACATTCGCTTTGATTTAGACATCTGCATCCGCATAAATCAATGCGGATCTTTGATGCGGATGTAGATGTGGAGCAAGTCACGACACGATCATAAAAGGAGAATGCACATGCAGGTGACAAAATCCAACATTAATACCTAATACAACATTTTTTATTTGATTGAGGTTATTCAGGAAGTGTCAGTCACAACGTTCGTTTCCTCTGTTTGACTAAATGTATTGTGTCTTCCAAAAATATTTCGACGTATAAATTATAAATTTAAAAAAGTGAATAAAAATGTCGCCACCAGCACAAGTAATATCTGGACTTATTTTAAATCAGACGAAAGTGATCGGGATAAGTTCCAGTGCAAAATATTATGTAAACAAAGTTACTCATGAAAGGGACGTAAGTACCATAACTTGCAAAATCAGCTTAAATCGATGCACCCACAAGAGTTTAGTTTGTTCCAAAGCTTGAGTAACGCAAAACAGTTGAAGAATAAGAAAAATGATGCAGGTAAATTGGAATTTCAATCTAGTTTTATAAGTTTAAACTTACAGTCACACTCGACGAAAAGTAATTCTCAGCTGTAGGCACAGCAGTTACTGCAGCAGCAGTTTACTGTCCCCTAACTATTATATTTTGTATTTATTAATATAATTCAGTGTTAATTGGACCAAATTAAAAATAAGGAAGACCTTTACAATGTGATATTATCATTTATTTTAAGATTTCGATTTGATATTTTTTCTTAAAAGCGGTACTTTTGAAGCAATTTAAAAAACAAAAAAAAATATACTAAAACTACTGACTTGAGAACCTCCTCCTTTTTTGAAGTTGGTTAAAATCACTTGCAGGTTTTTACAGTAGTTTTTGATGTTGAGTTTGATTGAAATCGGATTTTTTTTTTCGTTTTGACTTTCGTTAATAATTAATATACAAATTACTTCAATGAGTTGTAGCGCTAAGGGAAGCGGGTTCGTATCCCGCACGGAACCAGTATTTATATGGTCTACAATTTATATCGTTCCGGGTTTGGATGTTGTCAATCTTGCCTTGATGTTAGACTTCATCTTCACTCATCGAGTGAAAATGTAGGTCAAGAAGAAACACCTGGCAACCCGGATGCTCTTTTATAGAAAGAGTTGGTAATGTATCGGCATAAAAATGGACTGCATGTGGATCAAAATCCACTGATCTGGTGGAAATTAAATAGAGGACAATTGAAAATTCCTCTGGGTGTGCACGCAAGTACTTATCATCTTTACCGGCCAGCGTTCCCAGTGAACAATTATTTAGTTGCGTTGGGCTTATTTACGATTCACTATAAAATCGACTGAAGGCTGATAAAGCTGCGATATTAATTTACATTAAATATGATTTTGATTTTTAAAAAACTGTTTTTTAATGTAACCTAAATAAAAGTATTTTGATTAAGATTTTTTTACTCAAAATTTTATTAATAAATAAAAATAATATAAAAATTATCGTCTTCTATTTAATTTTCTTAATAAGTAATTTATCCTAAAAAAAAAAAACACTATCAATCCGCATCTGCATCCGCGGATGTTAAAAATTCTGCATCCGCAACAACCCTGGAATGATACAATGTGACAGCGGATCGTTTCGGTCGGCCAAATACGTTTGCCTAGGTGACAAATGGCTCGTAAATCAAAAACCAATCCTACATCTAAAAATTCTATTAAATAAAAATATATAATACTAAATGCGTAAATATATTAATTGACAATATAGGAAAATTTCACATTATGTGTTGATGAATGTTTGGTATTGTCATAGATGTGTTAAAGCTATTTTTTTTAAACTGGATAAATCTTTGTACTTTTTGGTTTAATTTATTGTTGACATCTAACTTTATGTGTTTTTTTATAAGGAATAAGGGTGACAAACGAGCACACAGGCCATCTGATGGTAAGTGGTTGCTGTGGCCCACAGACATCTACATCTATCTCTCATCATAGGTTGTCTACACTCATCATACAAAACACAGCGGCGGCGTTCAGCTACTATTTTACGCTGATATTCTGAGAGATTCCTCCCCGGTCGAACCGACCCATTTGTGCTACAACTATACCACTAATATAGCTGCAGCATGGCTCTGCCACGAAATCTTGTTTGTATTATGTTTTCTCAGTCTTATTTATGTATTATGTATTTTTTTTACAGAATTATGTACATTTAAAAAAATTATGAATTTGCATGCCACTGGTGAAATACATGTGTACTATTTTTATCATAATGTCTGTGACGACCATATTTCTTGCAAATAAATAAATAAATTATCATTATTTATTCAAACATAATTTCGAGTAAGACACGCACGCACGCACGCACGAAACCACGCACTTCCGCGTTATATTGAAAAGAAATACTCAAAATGATTTTAAATGTCAAATTTTTAACTTGGTACTCCAGGATTAAGAAGCGCTATCATTTTCAGTTAATGCCACATAACTCGGTCGGAGTTGATATGAAATATTCGTCATCGAAAATTGTAATATTCCATAACAGCGGTTAATTTACATTGCTTGTGAGCGCACAAATATTATACAAAAATAAAGTATTATCATATTTTTTCTCGTTTTATATCCCTTTTGGAATTTGTAATATAACAAGTAATATGGCAGAGCCAGAGCTCTTGTGGCTACTGCACAAATGTGTTGAGTCAGCTCAACCGAAGGAGGACACGCTGGTACAAAATACCAGCGTAAAATTGCAAGATAAAGCTGCTGTATTTGGAACGGTTAGTGATGAGACCAGAGACGATTCCAGTTACTAACAACATCATAGTCCCCAGGGATGACAACGCATCTGAGTTTTAATCCTTATGTAGAATAATCGATGATTTTTCCTAACACCCATAGACGTTACGGCGTTACACGGAAATTTCATTGCATTCGCACGGGAGGGTGAGTACAGAATGATGTAATGAACCGTTCTCGCCATATACCCAGTGCACACTTGTGATTATTACTTCCACTACGATACCAAATACTTTTCATTAGGTTTAGAACTGACATGTTCAGGTGTCTGCTAGAAATTGTTGCACTCGCCATTCTGTCCGCATATTGCTTGCTGACCGCAGTCACTTCGCACTTTTCGTGATGACGACTTTTTTTTGGATGATCCGCAGTCTGTTCGACACTAAAAGTTATTCATTATTCTGGATGATAATCATTTCTTTTTGCTCTTCATTTCGCCTGAGGAAGCATCACATTATTTTCCCATTTTTATTGTTCTAAAAGCTTATATCCGACATCAGAAATGCACATTTTATGTAGTAAATAGTTAATATCGTCGGTAGCTGTAACCACAAACCTTAAACTACTGCCGCTTAAACCTTGATCCATATAGGAAGGTATGTTCAATATGGTGATAGCATAAGGCTCACTCGTTAATTAATACAAAATCACACATTAAAATTTAAATCCCATTTGAAACTTAAGATTAGTTTGGTAAACCTGTTTACTTTTCTCTACTATAAACATTTTACTCACGCGTAGGAGCCACAAGGCGTTCCCGTGGTTCTGCCAATAAGCGATAAAGGTAGAACACCATGGGACCTTTAGTCAGGGCGAGTCCAACATAATCTATCCTTGTCTTACGAAAAAGAAATGTATAGTCTACGACCACGCCCGCGTGTAGTTGTAAAGATTACGTGTTTTCTCTAGTATCTATGACGTGACTCCTTCTGCTATAAGGACATGGAACTTACTTTATATACTTTTTCATTTTTTTAACCTTACAGCAGTATTTCATGAAGTCACATCAAAATAATTATTCCATAATGCACATAAATTTCCAATATAACCCAGGCACGTGTTTTAAAGCGTTTAAATCGTCATTTTACAGTGTAGAAAAAAAATTCACTGCTTAAGTGAGATTCTAGAATTAATACTCTTTTATCAAGTAAAAATATTCTGAAGCAATTTATGCTACGTTTTATTGTGAATAGTTAGTATGACATAATTATATGTATTACATTTACATTAAAAATGTTTGAAAACATGTTTAAAAAATATAATATTTATTAAGATATATTTAATTTGAATATGTAAACACATCTTCAATTTTAGACCACAGATTAAAACCAAATAATTCATTCATTCATTACAACCCTTCAGAAATCCACTGCTGAACATAGGCCTCCCCCAAGGAATTACAAA